TGACATATCCAGATACAAAAAGAAATGACTTATAGTGATCTTTGCAAAATAGGCCCAAACTTTGAAACAAGCTAAGAATTAAAATTACCCAGCACATCAATTAAAAACTTCCAATTACTGCGTACCTTTTCCAAGCAAACAATGAAAACGCAAGTCCAAAGCCGTGAGGCCTATTATTTCTGGATTCAGGTTGCATTTAAAACCGACATAAAAATTTATCCAGGTATTGGCTTCTTAACGCAAGGGAATCACTAAATAGCATAAAAACAAACTACTTTTCCAGATCACATGCTAGCAGGTGATACATATTACGTAATGGTGGAAATATTCAAAAAATTTATGGTGCGTAAATTTCGTAGATAGTCAAATTTATGATATCTTTGAAAGTTTGTAATCTACGCACACCAAAGAACGGGTATCAGCCGTTTCTACAGAATGACGTCAAAGAGATCATAAGTTTGGAAAGTATCTACAGATAAAATGTACTGATCCTCAAGAAATTGAACATGGATTGAGGTAAAGGGGGGAGGGGGCTCGGTCAAAGTTTTTTGGAACTGATAAATCAAAATTTCTTGCGCCAAACGCTCCGTTTCCAAATTGTTGCCTTTTAATGTGGCCTTTGCCAAATTTTGGAATAGAATGATGTAATTTAATAGAACTAAAATATTCTTTAACTCGGCCTATTGTAATATTTGAACCACAGAGAGAACCATTTTAGGGTCACAATTACAACTAGTCACAATTTTCTTATGCCAAAAATGGGTCGTTCTAGAAAATATTCCTTGCGGAAACAAGTTTTTTTTGAGTAGGCACTGTAAGGAAATAGAATAATAAATGTGAACACTTAAAATGGGGATATTTTAAGTCGTCCAAATCTGAGTCCTATCTCAAATGTCATTGGTGAAAGCTATTCAAGAAAAAAATAATGCAGACACATAAAGCATTTCTAGCATATCAGTTCTCGCTATGAAAGTGCCAGATTGAATAAAGCAAACCAGCTTTAAGGATTGCAAAAACAAAAGTATACAAAATGACGAGGATTTCTGTTTAAGGTCATCTGATTTTAAAGCGTTTAATTCTACTTTGTAGATTCCAAACCGTTTTCTTTTGATGAGGAAAAACTGCATATTGAAGCTAATCTCAACAAAACAGATTATAGAGTCTGCTGAAAACAATGGAACGAAATACAGCCTAGAATGGGGATTTATGATAAACAAAGCAGTGTACTATCAATACATCAATTTTGTCCCGGATAATATTGTAATAGTATTCTTATTTTTTAAGAAGATAAAAAATATATCATTTGTAACAAAAACAGGGCTTACTGTGAAATGAATTGTTCATGTCAGATTATGAATACAACAGACAAACTCTCTAGCAGAATTGAAAGAGAAATGCATTCAATAATATTCCCAGTATTAAATTGCAAGATAGAATCTTATCAAGAAATATTGGCCTTGATCTGCAAACTCTATTCGAAGAATGAAGAAGATTCAGAAATCATGCAGCACGTAAGCAAGGCCAACACATTTGCATGAGGTGTTACAACCAGCAATTGACAAGTTTTATTGCAAAACCTAGGTGCAAGTTTAACAAAAGATGTGTTATTTGGGCAATATTGCAACTGCTTTATCGTTGTTATCACTTTATCCAGATGTTGAGGCTATATTGAAACAATAACCGATATTTGCGTCCACGTGTTTAAGGCCACTGGTGTTTTGAAATGACGTGCAAGATGTTACCGGGAACATCTCGAGCAAGGTTTTGGAGATCTCAAAGCAAAGCTATCTTCAACCATCAATTTTTTTGCTAAAAATGCATAGTTGCTAAAAAAATCATCCCTTCAAACGAGTATAAAATTAGAATGAAATGGCAAGTTGTATTTAAAGAAAATAAAACATGAAGTTGTCTATTAAGAAGTTAATCAGGCAGCAATTTGCTGTATGAAAATTACAACGTCACAAAAACGTTTGCAAAAGTTTCAAATGGGTTTCTACAAAATTTGTTCATATTGTTGCAAAGCCAATGATATCTGACAAATATTTTTGCTTTCTGTTTCATTTACATTTCAAACTTGAATCAAGAGAGTCTCAAAGTGTTAGGAGACTTACAATATTTAGAAAAGTGTTAGTCGTGTCCATTCTTCGTGAACTTTCTTAGAATCTCTTTCACTTGTTATGACCGGGCAGAACGGACAACAGAAACAGACGTGTCTCTAGTGCATATTCCAATTCTCTAATCTTCGAACAATCACGGTTTTCCAATTTATTGATAAACGTGACATGTCATCACATGACGAGCACAAGCAATACGTCATTAACTAGCATTGCCTAATGACACCATTAGAAAACTCATGATTCTACAGATGTGCCTTCGAACATGACATCACATGCACACATGCACACGTTACACACTGCTTTCTATCAAAGAATACGAAAAAAAGACCATAAAAAGGGTCTCTATTTGTTTTGATAGTTTCCTAGCTTCCTCACTTATGTCCAACAGAAGAGGCGAGATTGCGAAGAGACTGTCATGCTATAGGTGCTTTCATGTCGGGCAGCTTTTGAGGCACAGCTAGTTGACTAAAGCTGTTATGCAACAACGAATCTGACATGTTATTGTAAGACAACAGGTTTTCTTATTAGCAATTCCGCTATAGTGGTGAATATGTTTGCTTGCAACTAATTTATTAATTCCTTCATAAGAAATTAAAGATGGATGACCTAGAGGAGAGAAAATTTTATTCAAACCTCTCACTTTCTTGAATTCAGAGATGAATTTTGTCAGAAAATACTAAAGCTATTTAATGCATTTCACGCTATAAGTGACAAAAATTCACTTAAATTGTCACCCAAAAACAGCAATCATGTTCCAAGTCATTCTACTTTACCCAGCTTAGCAAAGTCCATTCAAGGTTACCCAAGCGAAGAAATCATAAAACTTTCTTAAATTGAACCATAGATTTGATTTAAAAGGGTTGGGAAACGAGAAAAGCGTACCCTTTACTAAACAGAATCACAAATGCAAGATAGAGATAAATAGTTATTTTTATTCCTTGCTCCAGTGATATTTGATTGATAAAATGTTCGTAGAAAGAAAGTCGTCAAATATTCCAAATAATACAGAAACATTTTAATTGCAACAAATGAGTATTTTCAAATTCAATTTTCAGCCAAATGTAAAGGTTTTTATCAAGTTTGCTTGTGACGAGTCTCTTAGGACCATTAAAGCATTGTCATCAAACCCTTGGGATCAGTGGAACGCAGAAGCCGCGAGGCCGTTTAACAAGACTTTTGTTACTAAGAAATATTGGTTTCAAGTTCCTTTTTGTTCCTAATTCGTCAAAATATGAATTGCATGAGTGTCGATTAGGACCAAAATACTTCCAAAAAGAGTTAAAGGTTTTGCAATACTACTTGCGATGAAAAATGACAAAAATAATACGTTCGTGATATTCATGCGTTACTAAGACTGCAATGTTCATTGATATATTATATAGAATATCAAGTCTGCAATTCTGCATTTTATTGAAAAACACTGGTAAATATAAGTAAAATTACTGAAAGGAAGACGACTTCGCTAACAGGCATGATTTATGAATGTAATGCTGCACGAGAGGTAAATGGTGAAAATATGTTTCAACGTTTGTTTGCTATGTTGATGACTATTTCAGTTAGGATTAGAAAAGGAGATGTTTAGAAGTTGATGACTATGTGGATGACTTTGTTTAGGTTAGAAAAGGAGATGTTTAGATATTTTGGGCTTGGTGTCTGGAAATATATTGAAAATTTGAAAGAAATGTCTCGTTGACGTATGATAGATAAATTTCCCTTTTGGAAGTGCACTAGAATACATAGCTGGGAAATCTTTATTGAGGTCAGTGAACTTAGCAGTATTCAATGGCATCCATTGATTCTAAAGAGCGCGGATTGTATATATAGAGGTCTTTATAGATTTTTAAAGCGAAGGTAAAAGAGACTATTTGAATTGCGTATGACACACAAGCATCGAAGTACCGAAAGACCTGCAGGTGTAGACTGAAAATCACCGAGAAAAAGCTGCAGATCAGAAGACTTAATGTGTTTACCCAGATTTCTAATCATGGATTGTGGCTTCTTTAGTTTGGGCGCCCATTCACAATGAACAACAAGCCCAGGGCATAGAAGTAACAAAAATGTGACTATATTTGTGCTTATAGAGTAGGTAAGCACCTACAAGAGATTTTACAGCATGCATAATTAAGTATGGATGAGAAGAAATAAGTCCGAACGCACACAGATCAAAGATTGATCAATTCTTTAAAACCCAGTATTACATTTAAGTCACTTAGTTGAAGAGAAAAAGCCAAGGCTCCATTATTGCGGGGATATAAAACTGGAAAATCAGTGGTTGCCAGTTGCAGATGTTTTTAAAACAGAGTAAAAGTAATTCTATCAGACTAGAGACGAAATTAAATTACTCTCACTGATGTGCAGAAATTCTCCGTCAGAATCGCAATTGGATATGTCTTAAAACTGCGGGTTTTATTAGTTGCTGTTTGTGAAGAAGCAATCTAATTTTTGGTTGCTGAAACAAGATGTATAAAAACCTGATGCAGAAATAGCTCTGAATAAACATATGATTTGATGCAATTCATTGAAAATTAATACTGCTACTTTCTCCAAGCCAAAAGAAAAGCGGGTGAATGCTTTTCACTATCTTTGAGCAAACTAAGAGGCTGAAATTTGATAATTATACACAAAGCTGTTCAATGAACGTACAATACTGTGATGAATTAGTTAGAGGTTATGTTCCGAGGGTGTATCAGTGAATTTATGTAAGAAAATTTGAGCTTCAGCAAGAGAAACATTACATGCAGATGAATCAGGCTACGGTGTTACAACCGCATTGTATAATGATATCATGCAATTATTGTCGTGATTACAATGGCATTGTGCCCTGAGGGCTCGTTTAACAAAGTAGTATTATTTCATTATTTGAAGCAATAGCAATTCACTCACCCCTTAATCCAGCATCGGTTTGCAAAGGTTGGGCGGTAATAGCGAGAAGCAAGGCAAATTGGCTGATCGAGCCTACATCCCAGAACATACTTCCGTAATGATTGTAGATGCAAATTAATTCAATCACACATTAATACGATGCCTTGATTTCTGCTATACGGTAAAAAACAAATAATCGATGGGCATGTTTCCGGCCCAGAACGACATAAATTGTACGCGAGATGCAAATTTGTTGTCAAAACGCTTCTTATTTCGGCCGCTTGCGACTTATTTGTTTTCAAGTGTATGATCAAACTTCCCACTTTGTTTCGATATCCTTGTGATGTGCAGTGGCTACGATGTACCTGCGCCGCCACTACTTGATTTGTTCGAACAGGTGCCTCCATTATTCAACTCCCTTGATCGACCATTGGTTTCTGTATTCTATCACATGACCACTAGCGTCATCTGCCATTGGCTGCTGGCTGTCAACACACATGCAAGATTACGAGTAGTGTACGTTTCAATTGAAATTCTTGGCAGGCATAGTAAATATCTCTGGCTGGGATATCTCCTGAGTGGTGTATCTTCATTTCATAAAAGCAGCCACGTGACATCATTCAAAGATGACATCATTTTCATGTTTCTTACTGGCGCCCTGTAACCCATTCTTTCATTACTCATCACTTAACAGGGCTTGCCAGTACATGCTTCTCAAGCCGTCTAAAACAGGAAATTTCATAGAAAACACTTCTTCAAGACAAAAACGCACTGGCAAGTAAAAAACGCAAAAATAATCGCTGAGTGTGGTAAAGAGAAGGAAGAAAACAGTTTTCTCTTGATATGATTAATTTTACTTGCAAATCAAAAGTGGATTGCTGAACAAGAAAATCGATCTATGTTAAAACTAACTTTATCAGTTTCTGAAATGTTGCAGTTCATTTCAATGAAAAGTTTAGCTAACCACGAGTAGCACCTAGAAAAATGAATTCTTGAAATTATTATGCATTCTTAAAATGATTGTGCATATCGAGCGACCTTCAAATAATAAATGACATACAAAAGTGACAGCGAACGAAAATCTAAACCAGGCTCGATCAAAACACTCCCACTACACTAGAATGTTTTAACTGTGCTGTTCTGCTTCAATATGAGGGCGCCATCTTACGAATAGTTTTACAGGAAACGTTCTACGGCTTAATTGGAACATAGGTTGGTTTTTTTATATGAAAGTATCAGCGAACAGTATTTGAGAATCTACACCCTAAACAATTTCTAATAGCAATGCAGTGTGTTAGCATTAGCCATAATGTCCTGTTTGTTCGCCCTCCCCCTAACTCATAAAGGTACATTTCCACTGAACACATGATAAATGGAGGGTCGAAAATGTCTAGATATGTGTAAAATGTGGCGTGAATGTATAAAGTATGATAAGCAATGGCCCCCAAAACTCTGTAACCTCTATCCACCCCCTTTGGAATTGTTTAGTAAAAAGGTGGCTAGAGTGGATCCTCACATGAAGATAATTTTTTGTAATGGTAAGTCAAAACTGAAACTTTGAAAAATTTGAAATTTTACGACAAAGTCAATCATCGAACCTGCGTAACAACTTATCCTTGTAAATACAGCATTTGGATATTCACTCCATTTAAATTGATAATCTTATCGTGGTAGATTTTTTATGAAAGTTCTGGCAGAACAGGCTGTTCAACTCCCACGAAACCAATTTATTAAAGAACGTGTTTAATAAGCAAGGCCTGTTATTTAAAGAAAGCTATTTTAAGAAAACCTATTAAGCGACAAGGACATTTTTAAGGCTACTTTTACTAAAATATGTTTAACAGTTGCCAGTAAGGCATATAAACAAAGAAGACTGGGATGTCCTCTCCTCCAGTGATTATAAGTGTTTCAACAATAAATACTTCTCTAGTTTTTTTCTTAAGGGGAAAGTACCAAAAATGAAGTTTGAAATATTTTGCATTTCGCGCACATCATTCTGAGAATTGGAATGGAAAATTTAGGTGACAATTTGAGGGCTTAGATTTGGATGCGAGGAATTGACTATCTTTGGGATTATCCAATGGATATTTTAAGCTTTTACTTCAACAATTAGGTACTTTTATTTTATACTCGAAGATTCAGAACAATTTTCCGCGTATACTTCCATTCAATCCTTCAGGGTTCCTGGCAATGTAGAAGGACGAGAAGGTTCTGACAGTCATGAAATGCCTTTCCTAGTTTCAAATGTACTGAAATGCTGAATTGTAGGGGATAAAAACGGGAAAATCTGAATCGGCCTGACTTTCTGACGCCATTATGGCTTGAAGCGATGATTTAAATTGAAGAAAAACTTCAATTTTCAAAATTCTACACCTTGTACGGTGAAATCATGAGAACATATGCCTGCCAGTGATGACTCAACACCTCTCAATTAAGTAGAGCTTGAGTTTTCCACTGATCAAACATTCTTACTGCATATGGCGAATTCTTTGTCCCCGATCTTGCTTGTGACTTAGCTTCGTCCCGAAACAAAAAGGAAAACAAGGAAGAGCCCACGCCATGGCTCCACCATCTTTTTACGAAGCAAGTATTTTTAAAGCTGCAGTAAAACTGAAAAAGGCCTTGGCCCGTTACTTTTGCTAGTCTTGGTCACCCACCTTCAAATTCATAGCGTAGGCCCTGCAAAGCACTGGTTGATGTGGAAGAAAATATACAAAGTCATGATAGAAGCTCTCTGAGCATATAATATAGACCCTGACTGAAGTATTTACTTATCAAAAAAATTGTGATGTTATTTTTATTATAGCATTGTATAACAAAGGATACAATAACAAACAAACGATCTCCATCAGTAGCGGAAGCTTTTAGAACAATCAAACATGTATATTCACACCATCACAAAAGTAATTAGGAAGTAGAAGCAACTGAAAAATAGGAAAGCACAGCCCAAGATGTTGGTGCTCAAAACAATTCTGGTAGTGATTATGGCTCATTGTTTTAGTGTAGCAGTAACAGAGGCATTCCTTGCTAATTAGGGGCGAAAGGGTCAATAAGAGGTACAAATCTTTCAAGAGGATTTTGAGAGGAGCGTTTTTTCTTGGGCAAGATATAATTTCATAATGCTACTTTGATAGCGTGCGAGTTTCTGTTTCTACAAAGCGAATTTAAAGCAAATCGAATAAAAAGAAAATGTATCATGTGGCATCAACTGACACAATTGCATCAGCTAGAGGATCATTAAAAAATGTGAAACAGAAACATTTATCATTGACAAGGAAGAGACAGAAGCAGTGCTCAATTTGGTCAAGTGCCTTGGTAGGCTAAGTGCATGGTCTAACACAATTGGAATTGCAAACAGTTACTGCTGCTTTCAATCTTATAACTTCCTGATCGTAACATTACACCTGTAAGTTTCACACAACTCATTAAAATCAAACCATTTCAGCCAGGTGTTTTCGAAATAACATAAAAATTCAATGATGTGAACATCAGTGCTTCTAGGCACATGGTTATGATCAAACCAACTTGCAAAACAACAGCGTTGACCCTGTTTATTAAAGTTTAGCTGGGCAAAGAGACTATTCGCCGGCTTGGATTTTTTCTTATCGCAAAACACTGATTTGGATCACCTGTGGCGTCAGTTTCGACTTCAAAATCTTCCAAGTGATAACACGCAGCTCTGCGCGGTTGCTGTTTCCAAACAGTACTACCGAAATAGGGGGAGGGAGGAGGGGGCCCCAATTGATTGCCCCAGGGTCTTATGTTCATTTGGACCCTTTGCAAAATCTTAGCAAATTTTTAGCAGATCTCCCCCTTCTCAGAGAAATTTTTGTTCAGTAAACACAAATTGCAAGAAAGGCTGATTACGAATAGGTCGACGATCGATTTGCAACTGAAAAAGATAGAAAATTTGACTTCAGCTCAATCTTGTTTTCGTATTTTACCAGGTTGTCTTCTCCTGAATCGTGTTCTACGTATTCAAAGTTTCAAAACCCTAGAAAATTTTAAATATATTAATTGATTGTTGGCAATCTAAATTGCCGAATGAAGCTTATTTTGCCAAAGTGATGCTCTTTTCCGTGAATGTTTTTCATTTCTTCTCTTAATTTTTATTATATGATATGAGAAAATGAATTAAAGATATACAGTGCTAACATATAATTCAGAAAAAAGGAAATATCATTCTAAAAATCTAATGTTCTTCCAGGAGATAGAATTTGAAAAAGGTTCTTCGTTATCTTATTGGTCTAGAAGATTCCACATTTCTAATATCTTTTGGGATATCACTCTAACATCGGCAAATTCAAACGAGAAGCGTTTTCTTGCTATCTCTAGCCCAGTCCTCGTTATTTGCAAATTATTCATTCTCTTTGTTTCGTATTTCAAAATTCCGAGATCTCTTCATCACCGCTTGGTCAACTAGCTTAACTGTGCGCTTGATGTTGCAAATGGAATGGCGTCCATAATAGGTGCAGATTCCATATCGAAGCAGTATCCTCCAATTGTCTATCAGAATATCAGGGGAATTTCATGTGGTACTTGGGTTGAAAAGTTAACTTTCCTTCGCCTTCCTTCAAGCATTCCTTCCAACTGCTAAATGGTTTACAATTGCCAAACAAATACAGTCTCAGGGCCACGCCCTAAGCATATTTGCTTTTTGAAAACTTGCTCTCCATCGTTCTCTCCTCTTTCCTTTCCTCCTTTTATCTTCATTTTCTTTTACTTCTTCTTCATCATCAGTTATCTTCTGTTCTTCTCTGATTTTGTTCCTCTGTGTTTTCTCTTCTTCAATTATCATTTTTCCCCTCCTCTTACCTTTTCCTCTTTTATCTTTTTTCTTTCCTTCTACCTCCTTCTTCGTCCTCTTCTTCTTCTTCTTTCTCTTATTCTTACTCTTCTTCTTCATCAACATCATTTTTTTATTTTTCTTCTTCTTTGAATTTCTATCTCTGCTTTTTCTTCTTCGCGTTATATCATTTTCCTCTTCTCTTTCGATACTTCCTACCATGATGGGTCACTTTATCCATCTCTTTCAATAATACCCACAGCAACCTCTTTATCTACATCTTCACTCAAGTAACCATCTTTTCGACGTTGTTGAAACAAAAAGTGATGCTGGAAAAAAGTATTTGTTAAACGTTAACACAATATGGTATGCTTCTGTTTTTAACCAAATTTGGATGTCGTTTGACGCTGGAAAATCTGAATTTTTCCGCCTCAAACGTGAACTGCTTGATTTGCACCAATTGATCTGTGAACCAACTCAACCTTTGGGAAACAGAAAATCGTGCAAATCGATCTCCGATGTCGCTGTCAATTTGTGTATTGTAAGGAATCATTCAGTGCGCAAATATTTCAGAAAAAGTTGAGACAGTAACAGGACAAACGTTCCTGCAAAGCACGAGAATTTGATACAGTATCAATGGCAAATAAACTGTTCCTAACTTGACCTTAATTGGTAGGCTACTCTGTTAGCATAAGTTGTAAAGTTATAAAGTTTGGAGTGCCTCAAGGCTCAATCATTGGTCTTCTTGTTTACAAAATGACCTTCCAGAAGACAAATGCTTGTATATTTGCCAATGATACATCACTATACTCAGCTTGTGTTTGTTTTTGTTGATTCTCGGCGCCTTGCGGTGTTCATAATTTTCTACCTGATATCTTTGGATTGCCTTGAATCTTTGCAATATTCTGCTGTCTAGCTTTAACCAGAGCATGGTAGGGCACATCACGTAAACGAATTATAGAGAACAAGGCTGGAAATTGTTAACTGACAGAAGGAGGTCTCTAGGACCCCCCATTCTAATTGTCTTGGCCCCACTCAGGTTACCTGACCTCTCTTTTACCTGAGTAAAACAGCTATAAATTATCTAAGATATCTACCTAGCTATCTCTCACCTAAGCAGGGGATTGATGTTTGCAAAAACTTTTCTTCCCTAATTCTATTAGCTATGGAATAATCTTGTTGATGGAATATGTGAATCACCATCTTTGTCAAATTTCAAAGGTTGTTATGTTTAGTCTTACTCAAGCAAACATATTTTAGGCATTCACAGCCCCGATCGATTAAGAGATTGCCAAGCAGAGAGTTAGAAGGAATTCAAGTTATGGTGTCGAGGCCACTGTCAATTTCTTGCTGCTCTGCCATAAACACTTCGTACAGATCGGTTTCTTGATAAGGTGTCAAACGTACCTGTTTTATATGATTTACGTTATTCCTTTCTTCATTGCGAGTTATATCAAATTGAAATGGAGATGAAGCTTAACAAATTCTTCATTTAAACCTGTGCTGGCGGCCTTATATTCCCATTCCACTATATCTTCAGCATTTGGTTGTTTCTCTTTCCCTTCATGGGCCAAAAGTGTGAGAATTCCAGCCTGTTTTAGCTTCAATGTAGCCACCCACCGTATCTGGATTGGAAAGTAGTTTTGTTTTAGCGTATTTTATATGAATTGTCTGTATTGTATAGTTTTAAGAACATATGGTCTGTGTTTCGCAAAACTTTCGAATACAAGGAGAACGGGCTAGCCGGGATCCCGTCTTCTGCCAACCAGGCTAGCCTGGCAAAGAGGGCAGAAATTTAAAGTTTTTGCTTATGTAATCGATTCAAGACGGGCTGGCTCGTGCGTGATTCAAGACGTGAATTTGACAACGCGCGCGCTTTCGGGCTGGCTCACGCGCTATTAAATGGAACTGAGGAAGAACCAAAGAGCACTGGGTGAAAGGTTAAAAAAGACGCATCAAAGGTTCAAGTGGACTGAAGATACAGTCAAAGAATTGCTGCAAGCACTGTACGGATACAAGAGCATGCTGGCATACAATAAGAAAGCTTATCCTAATGTTTTTTGAAGAGCGTAAAAGCATAAGTCAAGCCATGAAGCTGATATAACAACGATGTAAACAATCCAAAATGTTGAATCATAGACTTCATAGCTGAAAAACATTTCTTGGTAAGTGATACAGCAATTTTAAAATCAATATACCCGTCGAAATATTTGATAACAATTTTCAGGCCGGTCTGATGTTCTCCATGTAACCATTCGGAAGACTCAGCCCGGATGGTCGAGCCAACTCGCTGCATGTTATCAGCCCTTTCATAGCAGCGGGGCTCTGCTCATAAAACATTTGCAAATATGTTTATCTGGAAATGGAAGCTTGTATTGGCAGCAAGCCGAGAGATTTTTGTGGGGATGTGACGTTGTCATGCGCACAAACAAATGAAACCTAGTTGTGACACCAAAAGCTGAAGAGAACTGCGCAATCACTTAGAAACAGAAATCTAAGAGGAAACAGTGAACAATGGACTCGCGAATATAGATTAAAAAGAATTTTGACAGATTAGAAACAGTTCTGCTAAGCAGCATCTGAATCTAACCGTAACAATCTGTTTGGTACATTCCATCTTGGCTGTTTTTCGCGAAACTTCTGCACATAATGCGAAAAAGCGCAAACTTAGGTTGTAACAGCAAACTGTCAGTTTCTAACGATTTATATGTAATCAAAATAAGTTTCCTTAAAAATATTTGTTCATGAAGTGGATCTTAAAACTTGCAATGCAACCCTTTAAATGCTTGTTGCTGTGCGCATGCAGGCATATTTCACAGGCTTGCAAATTGAGTATGCAATAATGAATCGGCCTCCTTGATTGCTTATTTTACAGGGTTCACATGGATTGGATATCGCAATATCAATTAGTGAGGGCATCGAATGTCACAAAAGAATAATCACTATGGGTGTAGAGGATGACTATATGAAAAACTCTGACGAGACTAAATTCTTCGTAGATTGGCAATGATGAAATGCATTCAGTGATAAGCACACTCACACCAGAACAGAGAAAAAGCTATCGTAGATAATTTCAAATCAAACTAATTTGCTTTCGCAATGACATCATGAGTTATTTTCGCCCTTTATAAATTTGATAAATATTTTCAAGGAAAACCTCAATTTTTCTTCGGCTTTCAATTGCATACAAGCTCATCAAACAAAAGAGCTGAACAGACGAAACATTTCTAAATTAAAATGACCGTGATGTAAAAAACATTTACCTTCATCTGCAAACATTGTTGCGTGCAAAATTATTGTTTTCGTCTGTGTCCAGACAGCTGAATAAACAGGGTCTTATTGGCCTAAGCATCTTCGGCGCATAAAGTGTTCGAAATAAATCCCTGCAAAAGTCGAATAGATGACTAAATGATTGCTTTTTCATAAAAACATGATCTGAGCGTAATCATGTCTGATTCTTATTTGTAGCGCTATGTTAAGGAGATTTTTGTTAATCTGCGCAATAGTATAGAATAAAGAGGAGAAATGAAGAAATCAACGCTTCACCGAGAAATGAAGAAAAAAACCCCACATGATCACCAATTTCATCGAGAAATCATTACTATCAACCCTTTTGTCATTTACTGAATTTATGTAATAAGCCAAAACCATAGCTCTTTATCAAAAATCCTTGTTAACTGAAACTTTTAAAGCTAAAAACATATAAAACTTAAGGTGCAATAAAGCATAAAGTTTAGAATGTTTTGCGAAGTGGTTTGACCTAAATTTATATATCAAATGTTGTAGCTTCATTTTCTGGTTGCGAGATTTCACTAATTTAATTAATTGCCTTCAAAAATTCATCTTAACTCTTTGTTTTCTCTTGCGTAGTGTATTGCAGTCAAACTTTCTGTAATGATTTAAATATTCCCATTGTTTAATCATTTACGTATAAAATTACTTTAAAATGAAGTCAAGATATGTAAACCAAATCAAACAGATTTTTGAAATGCAAAATGTTCAGTGAAAGCAAGAAATATAGTCTGAGATTTCGTTAAGAACAGCAGCGGTTGAATTACTGGATGCACTGAGCGATCGATACCGCAATAAATAAAATGCTAAAAACTGTGATCATTAAATTTTATTATTAAAATATGAAGGAAAGTAAAACAGAGTATTCATTACTGAGCTCTGCTGATTCTCTCAAACAAAGTCTTGAGGAATCCATTAAACGAGAGCACCCAATGAGAAAATAACAGTTATTATTTCGCTTCCTGAACACGCTCTCCAATCTATACAAGAATCAAACAGATCTTTTGCTTACCTATTCACACCACATATCAATTTCAATGCTCTGAACCTAACGCGGAAAGGTAGGCAATCGTCCTCTCGGAAAAAATCTTCTAAAAGATTAACAGAAAACCCCTTTTTATTTTCAAAGCTTTAATTTTGGGTCAAGATCACAGATAGTCAATTAATAGCTTAAATACGATAAAAGCAATTTAGGTGTGTAACTTTGTGCCTCTAGAACAAACTTTTTGATGAATTTTAACAAAATGGAAATCTTTTTGTTTGCTACCTGTTCCTACAGTAATGCAACAGAGTAATCGTTGCGACGGCTATCCTGAACAGACCGCAAGGGAAAGAGGGAGAAGAGATGGAAAATGAGAGACTGCAGAAGAAAGGGAGAAGTCATTCTAAACAGACGATTAAAGAAGGGCAAATAACTGAAATTTTTGAGGTTGGTTCTCTGCAAAGTATAATTATCATAAATTCTAAACTTTTTATTGCTTATTCAAGTAAACTTGCTTAACAATAAAAACTATACAAAACCTTTAAGAAACTTGTTAATTTTGGGAGTCAAAAGTGTGCTAGGATCTGACCGGCAGATGAAAATTATCGATGTTTTTTTAAAGACTCATCATCTAGACAACAAATTGGAATTTTTTCGGTACAAAAATTTATTTCATTTTATTGACACAGAAATATCTAACACACAGACATCGTAAAATTCTCAGTTTTCAATCAATGTTCTTAAATTTGTCATAACCTTTCTCGATGTAAACTTTTTAATATGAAACACCGTGAACTATTTTTGATTGAGCTTTAATGTCCATGAACAATTAGCAGAAAGTAGTTATTTCATGAAAAACAAAAGATTCTAAATAATGCAATATTCATTTTAAAATTTGGAAATATTTTGGTTTATTTGGAGATAAAAGCGAAGCGGCAGACCACAGAAAACAACAAAACAGTGAATTGAGAATTTGTTGTGGAGAGAAATGAGCGGCATTTTGAGGGTAAGCCAAACAATAGGATAAAGTGAGTGATGGACGAAAATCACTTGAAAGCATGACGGGTGTACTAAGAATGCTGGATTTGTAATCCTATTCATATATGGGCTGATTTGGTGGCCAGAGAATCCATTAACATAAGGACACAGATGTCTTCAATGAGTCTTTGTTATATGCTCCACGAAAGAAACGCCTTTCTAAGAATTTTACTTATCAAGTGAAACTTAATGTGTGAGAAGGGAGAAACGCAGGATAGGCTGTACGCCGGATTCTGTGAATCTTGCAATGAGTATAATATAAATGTGGGGATAAAATTCAGGAAAAAAGCAAAACGGCGACGAGACTCCAATGCTATAAGATAAATTTTCAAAATAAATTAAATTAAATGAATACTAATATTTTGCCCCGGCATACAGGGCCTTATTCAGGGATTAAAAACTTCCTTAACTTATCTTACGTTTTATGTTTTATGGTGTGGACACAGGTGAAAAATTATCTTTTTCTTATTATGTGGTCTGGATATAGTTTCGTGCTTCTTCTATGATCAGCTCTTCTATCAGAAAGATAAAATTCGAAAAAAATATTCTTCGCTGGCTCCCGGTGCCCCAAATAGCTGAAATGTCGTTTAAAGCTTCTAAAATCTTTTCTCAAAAGACTTTTTTAAAAGATTCACTAGTAGCGATGTGAAAATGGATTGTTGATTGTAAAATTAATACTGTAAATGCAAACATTTTCAGACCGAGAATTTTCGAATTTTAAGATAAAGTTACGGATGTTGTTCCGATACAGATATTTTGGGCCAATTTTGGGTTAACTTCGAGGTTTAATTTCACATTTAAACATCTGCAGATTAAACATTATTCATTGATTCACAGAAGCAATACAGTTTTGAAGAATTGGATGAAAATATGCTATTTGAACAAATCTTTTTGTAAACATAACGATCATTTAAATCATAGCGTGATAATAAAAAACACAGCGAACACTTATATAGGCGAATCAAAGTAGGCCAATCAGAAACGCAAGCACATGGCTGTCGAGGTTGCCTAATCATAAGCAGGCGGCACTGATTGGCCAACCGCAACAGTCATGTGCTTGGACTATTTCGATCCACAACTGATTATATATATTTTCCTAACGTAGAGTTTTCGTTCTATGTTCTGACTTTTTATACTCTGAAGATTGTCAGAAGTAAACCTTAAGTAACATGTTTCAAAACGTTTGCTTTTTTCAAAGCGATTAGTCAATAGGTTGGCTAGATTTGCTTGAGAGTCACTTTCAATATGACTTCATCACATAAAATTCTGGAAAAATTTTAGTTTGTCACGCAAGGTCTGCAAATCTTTGCTACTTTCTGGTACGAAGAGTTTCCAAGACCTCTTTCTTGGCAGGAGATGAAGCACACTTTGTAAGATTAAGATTGATTGGCTTTCGGGTTTAAAGTGTTTACACCCATATGTATCGGTATCCTGAACGACCTTTTGGCCAACAGTCAGTTTGCTTGTAACTATTCTGAAAACGCAGATGGCTCTCGGTTTGATTTCATTTCTACTTAGGAAGCAGTCAGTAATCTTTCAGCAGCATAATTGCTATGGATTGAAAACTGTGAGATAGCTACTGCTTTCTTCTTCAGAGATGCCTGGCAGAGAATAATAAAAAACGCGACTTCATCCTTTGGTACCTCCTGTTTCGGTTGCCGCTGCATCGCGAGAATATTTAATCACAAGTTTCCAATACATCTGAGGGAATAATTGAATCCTGTCAATCAACAATTTGCACGCCACATGGATCAAGAGAATAAAAAATTTTAAGTAACACCCTCCGTTGCATTCGTTTCAAGCTGGGTAAAATCAGAAGCCGTGGCTGGGCGAAGAACAGTGGCATCCCTGTCATTCATTTGCACACCTGGCATGAAGTCATCAATATAGTGCTCCATTTCAAAACACGTTCAAGGAAAATTTGGTTTCCTGTCTTCACTATAGCATCAGCTGCATTTTTCATTCTGCATGCACAGGTCGCGCCATCGTATGGGATGAGCCCATCAATAGGTGATGTTTTAACACTCTGTTTTGTTGTTTCTCCAAAATTTGCCAAGAACAGACCAGTACAGACAGGATTTCAGCATTTAAACACACACGTATTGGTATTTTCGTCCGTTTATTCAAATTCTGAAAGAGCCCATTAGCATAGCAACTGTCATTGTTTAAGTGCTTTTGCCAATGCCCTTCTAATCGTCTCGATTCCAAAATAAAGCTTCTTCTTGTACTTCAAAAATGCCGTCAATAAATTTCAGAGTGATCAAGCCACCCCTGTGTAGTCATACAAATTGACACAACATAAGCTGTCTGCAAAATTAACTCTCCAGAAGTCAGCGGCCCTTTCTATAAAACTCATGTCAATAGAATTCCTACATATATTCCCTTTCAAGCTTTCCGCTCAATATAACTCACTTCAGCAACTGCAATCAATGAAGGATTTTCAAAAAGATTCATAATAACAAATGTTCATTGCACATCTTGCCAAGCTTGTGATCTCACTATCAAGGTGATTAAATCTAAGCGTTTCTTTTAACAACGAAAGATCTATTGTCAGGGTTAATTTGTTACCGAATTAAAAACTGTCGAGACACCGAACTGGGATTAATTTTTAATAGCAATAATAACTTACATGAAATGAAGTCGATGGACGAACTCATTTCGCCAATTATTTAGGCCGAGTCACGATATCCAAACGCGAAGCGATGTTGTAGTCATTATGTGTTACATCAATTTTAAAATAATTTCGCAAAAGCGTTAGAAAACATTCACAGCAGCATAGAAAAAGTTTGTTTACATGCATCCATAAACAGTATTTTGTTGCCTTTACACAATCAAAATCAATTAAAACAAACAAGTACACGAAGTGGAAATGTAGAACTATCAAAAGTCATCTTCTAAATTTGTCTAAATCGTTAGAGCATTCTGTTTTCTTTGGAATTCCGTCTTCAATTCATGTTCCAGTGAAAGAAACTTTTAAGTTACAAAATTGATTTTATTTGGTCGATAGGCCTAGACAAATGGAGTAGAAGAAAATGTCACTTAGGAACACCGTTCACCAAAGGTGAAGATAAAATGTACGATGAGCCCACAGATTGACAACGTTATAAAACTTATCCGTTATGAAAAGAACACGAATGAAACTTACCAAGGCCATACACCTTTGCTCAGAAGAGACAGGAAATTTTGCGATTAGAGAGTTTCCATCGAAGCTGCACAAAAAAATCAAACACTACGAAATTAAAAATCTCGATGGCAAATTTCCATTCAAAAGAAATTAAAACCCACAACAAGTTTGCAATCTATCCGACTCGTCCTCGCACCTCTTGGCACCTCTATTTCGTTATCACCCTGCAAAATCCAAATTCAAATTGGCAGGGGGGAATGGGAGCAAATTCAACGTCGACCCCAATGTAAATCAGGCTACACAAGTGTGATAAATAAGGAATTTTTGTGAAAAAATAAAACCAATCTACTAACATTGAATCAAGAATCTAGAAGCTCTAAATTGGCAAATAGTAAACAAAATCAATGAACTGACAAACCTTTTGGACGAACAATGCTCCAGGAAATTATCCTCTGAATTCGTACGGGCGAAAAACCCGGTTCTTTCGTTCCTCGGGCTTTCTTCTTTTTTCCAGTTCATTTTTTTCTGCCGGCTTCTTCCTTCCCTCGGTCCCTTCCTTTCTTCCAGTTCATTTCCTCCAGTTTCTTTCTTTCGTCCGCTTTGTCAGAAAAACAACCTACTCGGAAAGTTCCAGGGTAGGTTGTACTGCTGAGACATTATAATCATTAAAGTGGTTAAAATGGAAAACATCGAGAAAATTTAATTAAAAACAGGTTTCAGTTCTTCCCCTTTAAGCACGAAAAGGGAAAGAACACGAGAGGTTTGAAATTTGCAGATGAATTGTGCTTAACAAATAATTTCAAGCGGAAAAACGATACTTTGAAGAACATGAACTTACTTGAAATGAGTCTGCAGATAAAAAGCACTTCCAAGTTGGTAATTTCTGCAACAGGCTCTCGAGCAATTATAATTCATTATTACGCATATGCCATTGTATGAAAAACAGGACGATTCTTAGTTGCAACATTGAGTTACATGCCAAATCCTTTTGAGACCTTACCCATTTGAACCTTAAGGGTTGCAAAAAACTAACAGAAATTAGGCTTAGAGTGCTCAAATATAGTCTAGACTATCCCCAATCGGAAAGTACGAACATTCATTTATTAAGACAACTCAAAAGGCCCATTCTAAAAATACCATCTTCTGCATGAAAATGACATGACTCGGGAAAAACCGATTAAATTCTGATTGATTTTTTCTAGAAAATCAAAGACTACTGACCACTGAAAGAGTATAGTCTCTAGGAAATATTGAGAACCCATTACATTAGAATTGCTATCAAAAATGATTTCACTGCGATTTCAGCAACCAAATTCTTAAATCTGAAAAACTTAATTAGGAGTATTTTCTAAACAGTTGCTAGTGAACGAGGATTGAGTTTCTCGTAAGAGGTCTTTTTGAACAGTTGCCATTTTATTCTTTGTTCACCCCCTATGGCCTTTTAACTTTACTGAAGGTCAGCCATGGTACGATTGATAAGTACAGCGCTAATCGAGTATAGGGCTATTGTTCATAAAGGATTTGCTTCATGAAGTTTGCAAAGAAACGCCTTGCTTCAGCTGCTCATCGATTTCTCTGTCCATCAATTCTACGTTATATTTAGATTTCTAAAAAAATAAGTAGAAGTATTAATGAAACTGAAGCGGGCTTTTGTTCGCCATTGTCAGGGAAAAGCATGGACATTGATTTCAAATACAGAAAAAACCTATAGTTCATAAAAGAGTGTGACGTTTGGAAGGCAATAATTACAAACATCATCTGGACAATAAAATAAACATCGCGAAAGTTTATTCGTTCTAACGCCCTTTGGAATAAGATAACATGACGTAAAACTGAGGTATAATGGGGCACTGAGGCGATTTAATTGAAATACATTGCTTTACAAAACGACGGCCATATCATAACACGAAGATACAAACAGGACGAAAACGATAAAAACAAATCTATGACCAGCTGTTTACAAAAAATGTATTGAGGAAAATTTGAATGCAATCTAAAGAAAGTTTGGTAGTTGCTTGACGTATAATCAATATCGTGTCGGATATATGAATGATGAACGCTGGGTCGCAATCAAAGTTAAGGTTTCCGTTGACGCGAGTAGCGTGATTTCTAAAGATATAGGTTTTCTACGCACAAAACAAGCACAAAGCAGAAATAAATGAATAAAGCTTTGGAAAAACTCTTTAATCATCACGAAGGCAGTGAAAACAAACAAATACTGAAAAGCAAACCAAAGTACCTGGTTTCCTTGCTATGTTTGAAGAATGAAGTATCTGATTTGAGTTCAAAATTAGAAAATCGTTTTAGCAAAACTTTCTGTATTGAAGGCTTTCGCTGCGGTGGCTGAAGCTAAGGAACTGGTCACGTGTTGTTGCATGACCGCGCGAAAAAGAAGTGTTTTACATTTTAAGACCGAAGTTTTGATTTGTGAAAGAGACAAGAAATTATGAACTGAATGAATTTCTGCTAGGCTTTTTTACGAAAATGAAAGCAAAAATGGAATCTAAGCTGATCTATAATGATGGGGGAGATTCATTTCGTGACACGCATCGCGTGCTTCGTAACACCAATAAGCAAATAAGAAAAATCAGAAAAGCTCCAATCCAGTATATTAAAATTAACTGAAATAAAAATTAAATCTATCCTCCTCGGAAAATGTGCCTTCCAGTTGAAACTTTTACGGATTTTTATGAAGCCGATTTGAATGCTTCTACTCCTAGTATGGTTTGGTCATATTCAAAGCGGATATTTTAGAGTGCACTGCTCGACATAGAGACCAGAAAACACGATGAGTAGCCAAAGGAATATCAGTTATAATGGTGCTTACATGTTTGATTACTGATGATATTTTTTTAAGTTTTGTGATAACCTCTTCTGTTTACTCTATAATATACTCATTTTCTCTATTTGATTTCTGTCCAGTAAGGATAGAATAATTGTGTATATGTCTTGAGAGAAGACTCCAGCTTATTTGGCTAATTTATAAATTCAAAGTTTAGAAACCTCTATATAAGAACCTACAAATATTTTAGGGTCAGTTGTATTCTTATTTAAGTGAACAAAACCGTGCATTTTTAGGACAAAGGTTTTGGTAGTTCTTTTATGCGGATTTTGCTGTATTCGTTTATTTAAAAAAAATTTCTTTAGTTGGACAAGAAAATCTTCAGGACACTTCGAAAGAACGGTTGCAGAAAAGTAACGAGAAGCAAGGACTCTGGCTGATATAAGACTGCTATCTGTTATAAGTTTGATAATTATTACATAAACCGCTCAATACAAATTAACACAAGCAACCACGTCTACTTTTTATACGCGACAAAATTATCTTAATATCACCTCTGTGAAAGACTAATCCAATGGAGTAATTAAACCTTTTGATTGGTTAAACACATCCTGCAACGTATCAAATTGAATATTAGAAGCTTAGCAACACGTTAGATTTTGCTAAGCAAGAACACGGCCTATCATTAAGGCAGATATGCTGTTTCTTAGAGCTTGAGAAATAATCAGTGACACAGGCGAAGGTATTGAAGCTGAAGACAATGTGTGTTTCAGATCAGTTACCTTGCGGACTGAAAATAATAGCGATTCATTGGTTGAATCCATTCTGTGGACTAAATATAAAGGGGTAAATATTAGATTGGATTATCGATTACTCTGTAACCTTGTACAGCCGAACGTTATATGGAATTTATGCAAAATATATAAACCACAAATTCAACCATTGATGATGTGAATCTTTGGCAATTACGATTTTGGATGACAGCAAAACACAAAGTGGGATTGTCTGAAATTCATCACTAATTGTACCGAGCATTTAGATGACGACCTTGTTTATAAACAAAACACACCAAACTAAACTAACTAATAACTACTACTTCTTATCCAAAAAATCATGTAAAGCCTGGCTTATAGCAGGACTGCAGGACCCAACGGTATGCTGCGACTCTGCGTCTCTAGTGCCTCCTTCAGTAACATACCTTTCTGCAACAATCTCCTCTCCATCGCAGATTGCCTCAAAAATGCGCCTAAACTCAACCAGGATTTCATCTGTCCTGAATCTCGCAGCAAGAAGCGCCTCAGCAGGTGGTCCGTCTGACGTATCCCCTGTAGTCTTCCACATGAGGCTTCGCGGTGCCATCTTCATCTCATCCAACTTCATTCCTTCAGTCAGTGCGTGATTTGCCCCTATCTTCAAAACAACATCTCTTCTCATCAACAACCTCGCTTTTCCTGTTGCTTCATTTCTTAATATTTTCAGTTTGCCAGTTCCTCGCTCTTTCCATTGATTCGTCTCATGATTAAATCGATACATTTTGACACGTTCTTCAAACAAAATTGTTTCATCTTCTTCCCCTGATTTCACTTCTACTTGTTTAAGTTGCACGATTGGTTCAAAATGAGCATCATGCTCTTCTTCAGTTTGACTTGTATTAGTTTTGGTCCCATCAAATAACTTCGCACCAGCATTCGCAAACCAACCTTGGTCTTCTTTTTTGAATCCGCTGTCCTTGTTGCTAGCCAACGTGGAAAAATCTAGTCCGGAAAATCCACCTCCAAATGTATTCTGCGTGCCAATTTGGTCTTCTTTAGGGCCGAGGTCTGCTGTTTCCTTTCCTGAAACAGCATTAGAAACATTCAAAGACGTATCACCGGATTGGTTTGAATCTTCTGTTTGGTCGGTGGTGACATCGTTTCCGTCCGGTTTTGGACTTGTCTGCTTTTCAAAATTGTCATCACTCGACATTTCTAGCTTCTCAAGACATTGCTGAACAGCATTTGCGAACCTGCGGCCTACTTCTGCAGACTTGAACTTTGCCGTAAATGTCTCATCTTTGGGCTCACCATCAGCGATATCAGCAATTGTCTTCCAAGTCCACGTGGTCTCCACACCTTGCTTTGGAGATGGCGTCATGCCAGGCTGGATGAAATGATTGGCACCCAGTTTGAAAACAACATCCCGACGCATGACAATTCTGGACTTATTGTCGTTTTTCTTGACGAGAATTTTCAGATCACCTACACCTCTTTCCTTCCACTGATTCAAATCACGATCGAGCCGGTACAATTTACATCTTTCAGCAAAGATGGCCTCTTCTTCCTCTTCGCCTGTCTTTGTTTCTTTCATTTCCAAAGAAACAATTGGCTTGAAATCAGCTAACCCTTGGGCATCCTCAGCACCGTCCTCGTGCTCTGTTTTCTCAGTGCCAGCAAACAAAGCTGTACCTTGCCCTTTAAATGCTTGCTGGCCACTGGTTCTTGCGTGAAAGCCAGCAAAAGCATTGTCCCCGGTGGCAACTAAATCTGAGAAGGATACTCCACTGCCACTGAATAAACCAAAACCTTGCGATAATTTTTCTGCATTTCCAGTGCTTGAACTCTTAGATGCAGTGTCTTGCACTGCTGAGCTTTCATGACGGTTCCTATTCTCTTCTTCAGGTGGAGCCGCAAAGAACATTGGTGGCAAAAGTAGTGCCTTTGCTCGCATCAACTCTCCCGCCGTTGGCTCTTTCACATATGTCACCACAACATCATCATCATCCTTCATAACAATTCTCTCCTCAATATCGACAATCTCTTTCTCAGCATCTTTGGTATCGTTCTGCGAAGCCTCAGATTCAGGACACCTTTCGCCAGCTTCTTTAGCCTTGTTTACTGCATCGTCAAAGCAAGCTTTAAATTTCTGTGAAATGACGTCATTACGGAATCGCACGGCCAGTTTCTCGGCTTTTGGAACCTCGTCAGCAAAGTCTGCGTGTGTAAACCAAATCCAGCTGTTTTTAGTAGATGAATTTGCTTCGAGTTTCATGTTTCGATCAAAGGCGTGGTTGAATGCAATCTTCATGACTTGATCTCTTCTCATGAGAATCCTGCACTGCTCTGTTCTCTTATTCATCAAAATCTTCACGTGACCTCGGCCCCGTTCCTTCCACTCCCTTGCATCACTATCAAACCTGTATGCTTTTGCCCATTCATCAAATAACACTTCCTCATGCTCTTCACCAGAAGAACTTTCTATCTTGGTCAATGACACGAGGGCCCTTACTTCACCCATACAATCTTCACCTGCAAGTTGTCGCTCAGGGCTTCCTGGGGTCTGTGCCGTTTTGCGTTCCACATGACTTGGCTTCACATTTTCCAGTTCAATTACCCCCGTTTCAGCCTTTTGATGATCTGATTGTCCACCCCAATTAAAGTTACCAAAACTTGACTTAGTTTCAAAGCCCTTTGAGGTCACCGGAATCTCCTCCACAGCTTCTTTAGAAGCAGATGCGAACGAGAATGGTCCTTTACCAGAATCCCAATTGGTACTCAAAAAGGGAAACGACACTGAGCTTTGCTCATTTCCAGGAGTTCCAACTTGCGTAGCGACGGCTTCATCGCTGCGGTTTTCGTCACTTGTAATGGCTGATTTATCAGAAAGTCCAAAAGAAAACAGCGTGCTGCTACCACCAAGACTTAATGGCCAGCTAAACTGTGTACTTTCAGACTCCTTTGTGCTCTGCTTTTCCAACGCAACGTCTGCGCTAGGTTCCTGAGAACTTTCTTCACTTGCTCCAGACCCAAATGAAAACAAAGACTGTCCACCAGACACAGGCCACATGAATGTGCTTTTAGCGACCGGCTTTTGCACAGTGGAAGCTTCAGTTTCCTTCATAGCAGATCCTTCATTTATCTTGCCTGCTGGTCTATTCTCAGATGATGCAGCAATAGCCATTCCCAGAGTCTCGACATTCTTGGGCTTATCGTACTCAATCTTACGCTCCCCGACCTCCAACATACCAGCTACGTCATTAAAGATTCGATTGAATTCGCTCATTACTTCTACACTTTGGAATTTTGCTGCAAATTTTTCTTCTTTAGGCGTTCCGTCTGAAAAATCAGCGGTCGTAAACCACACCAGGGTGTTTTTGCTGTTTGCCATAGGTTCAAGGTTCATTCCAGCTACAACACTGTGGTTTAAGCAAATTTTTTTCACATGATCCCGTCGCATTATCAATCTGGTCATGCCTTTTTCCTCATTCTTCAGAATCCTTAAATTCCCAACTCCACGTACTTTCCATTCTCGCAAAGCACCGTCAAACCGATACAACTTAGCACGTTCAGAAAATAAGACAATCTCACCCTCTTCCCCTGTTTCAGTTTCAATTTTCTTTAGCCGAACAATTGGGCTGAAAGAGGTTGAGCAATCTTCTTGGAACTTCTCGGGCGAAGAGGGGGCTGGAGCTGACACAGACGTGACGTCACTTCTGGCTGCGATTTCATCTACTTTTGATGTTGCAAACGTCTCAAAGAGCATTGGTTTCGGCGGTCCAGCTTTGACTTTCACCAATTTCCTGAAACGATTGTGGTTACGATCATCAACTGGCATTATAGGAAATTGATGACATGGAGGAGGGGGGGGGGGAAGGAGACGGATTGATTGAAGCTAATCGACAAACTTATGGTATGGAGGCTCAAAATTGCTCTTTATGTTTTAGCGTTTTTAGGAAGTAGGATCTTTGCTACCCTGGGTACTAGACTCCCTCTATATAAAATATAGTGAGTCTCGTACCCAGGGTAGTTGTTTGCAGGTAACAACAAAATATGGACTAAAAAGCAGGGTAAGAAATTAGTTCGCCATCCTGATCTTCTTCAAAATTCGAATTAAAGTGTTTATAATGCAAGAGGTTGCAATTTAATGGCCATTATCCTAACTGAACACTGATGTCTGTTTGGAAAAACAAGCTACGAAGTTTCATGTTTAAGCTGTCAAACTGTCATGTTTAAGCTGTCAAACTACTTTTGACTGCGCAAGTTAGAAATTCCCAATGATCAGAGATCAATAATATAATAAAAAAAACCAGTCAAGAATGAATTAATAAAAGTTAATAAAATGCAATAAAAGGAAAGAAAATAAAATAAAATAAAATCAAAAAACTATGGAGAAAACTGAAATTAAGAAAACAAAACCAAATTAAATTAATTTGAACAAAAATAAATAAAATTGAATTAAATAGAAAATTTCTTGAAGGATACTAAGCGAAGCCTTCAAGTTAAAAAACATCTGATTCTTTGGATATCCGAACTTTCAGAATGACTCGAATATTATGATTCCTTCAACTTTCTAATTCTTTTATTTGAATAAGCGCCCCCTTCGAATTAGCGCCCACCTTCGAATAAGCGCCCACCTTCGAATTAGCGCCCACCTTCGAATAAGCGCCCACCTTCGAATAAGCACCCACCTCCGAATAAGCACCCACCTTCGAATAAGCACCCACCTTCGAATAAGCACCCACCTCTGAATAAGCACCCACCTTCGAATAAGCACCCACCTTCGAATAAGCACCCACCTTCGAATAAGCGCCCACCTTCGAATACGCCCATATGGGGGACCATCGAACTATTTAAGAATAAAACTTCATATCGATTTTTCTCATTCTCAAAGCTCTCATTCAACTGTTCATATCGTTTTCACTACTTAAACTGTTGTCCAATTTCATATAAAAATTCATATTAGTTCATCTTTTTCGATTAGTTTTTCGAAGAGAGTTGTTGGTTGCAGCTGCTAATTTTGGATTCAGCTATAAAAAAAAAGGACAGGAAAATTTATCCTGGCTGCTACTAAATAAGCCCCCATCTTCGCATATACCCCCTGATTAAGCTATTCCATGTCCTATCCATCAAATATTTTTGCGAAATAAGACCCCGGGGGCTTATTCGAGGCCTTGCGGTAAAATTTTAATGGAGCATGCAATGAAACAAAACTCATTGAAAAATGGCATTCAGCAAATTGACAAAATTGTCTTGTGACGTGTGTTACGTAAAAGAAAACAAATTATTGGCAACGAACATTTTTGTGTGACAAAACACGTTTTTATAGGAAACGGATGTACCAAGAATATGTGATTGGAGCCTGCCTTTGAAAAAATTTGTCAACTTCACTGCCGAGTAAAAATCCAGCCCTGAAAATAGCTCTAAATATATTAAAATGCCTTGGGATGGCAATGTGTCATCAAAGTTTGGAAATAAAATAAAACGCCAAAACCAATGGTTATATTAAGCCTAGTGTGGTCTATAGTACAAAGGTCGTTCCCCAATCATTTCCAAGGTATTTGCTCCTATTAATCAAAAAGGTATGGTACTTTATAAACGTTTTGGTCAATGTGAAGCTCGGTATAAAGGATGCACCAGTCAGCGATTTATCGATATAATAAAACAGCATATCCCATATATATTAAGCGAAAACTGTTCCAGAGACAAATCGGCATTGGTAAAAGTCATAACGTGCATATCAAATAAGGTTTCGAAAAATGTCCGCATTTGAAAGGGAATCCAGAGTGCGACAAAACGTATGGTGACAAAAGTTTTATAAACCATTGGGAATGCAATGGAACGTTTCTTAATTTATCTGTTTTTGTATATGTTAACATTAAAATATAAGACCCTGACTTGTGTTGACAAAGAAATCGTGTTTTTTTCTTGGAATCGTCAACAGCATGTTTCTCTTTAATCTTAGCTTTCCTGTAATTTTCACTGCCTCTTACACTTTATCATGTTTATCAAAGTTCTTCAATCTTTGATCATACAAAATTGATCTCTCAAAAATTCTCAATTTTTTGACATCTAGCATCTTTCAATATGACTATCCTTTGAAATTTAGACCTAGCTTCGTTTGGAATTAAAGTTGCCATAAAAGAGTAAGATGCAAGACGTAGTTTGGGAAAAAAGGCGAAAAAATAAAACTTACTCGGAATTTGTGCTATCCTCTTCGCCAATCTGTGCATTGTAAAAAGGCTTTGGCAGGAGCAGTTTCTTGGCTTTGATTTGATCGTCATCGGACGGTAAAACTTCCTTTGTAAATTTAAGATCAAAATCCTCTACTTTTTCAATGTCCTTCTTCCTTTCAATTTCCTCCTTCCCGTCTTCTTTCTCCTTTGCCTCTGACGTTTCATTCTCTGTCTGTACTTTTGTTGGTCCTTCTGTCTCTGTTCTACTTGAAGCTTCAACTGCTTTATCAAACTCTTTCTCAAAGGCCATCAAAACGTCATGCGACTTAAAACGAACCGCAAATGTCTCTCTCCTCACCTCTCCGTCAGCAATGTCCGCTGTTGTTGTCCATATTCTCATTTTATCTGAGCTGGGCATCATTTTTAAACACATTCCAGGGATCAGAGCATGATTGGCACATAGTTTCCGAACCTGGTCCCTTCTCATTATTAAACGGCACTTTCCTGCCATGCCTTCTTTGCATAATATTTTCAACAGACCAACCCCCCTCTCTTTCCATTGCTTTGTTGCAGAGTCAAATCTATACAGCTTAGCTCTGTCAGAAAACAATATCACTTCGCTCTCCTCCCCAGTCTCTACGTTTTCCACTCTCTTCAAACTAACAACAGGGCTACAATGGAAATTAGAGTCATCCTCTTTGACTGGGCTTTCGGGAGTCTGAGGGGCACTGTTTCCTTTTAATGCGGAGCTGTTCTTGGGAGTGTCATCTGAGGTTGTAAAAATGTCCTTCCCGCCAGCTTTTGCAGAAAAAAGACCGTCCTTTGGTTGAGCATTGGAAAAGAAAGACCCGGTTGGCGTGAAAAACTCTGTGTTATCCACTCTTGAACTCTGCTCACTTGGTGTAATATACAGACTGCGCTCTGGTGTACTGTTCTGTCCAATGGCATTTCCAAAATCGGATGGCGTTGAGAACAAGGGCCGGAAATCTTTGAAAAGTTTATTCTGCTCAGTCTTAGAAGTAAGTGGGCTTTCACAAGGCGTAGCTGGTTTTGGCGATGCCGAAGTGGCTCCTGTACGGGAAACTGTACAAGCTTCGCATTTAGTTTTGTCTCCATCGTTAGTAACTGCACACGAAGAGCATTCCCAGCTTCCTGGCTTTGGAGCAAACGAAGAGAAAGCCTTGATATTTGAATCAAGCGGTGAGCGTCTCAACGTTATCGTTGGAGATACGCTGTCTTTTGGAGTTGAAGGATTTTCTGTTTTACAACTCTCGCACGTTTTAGCTGTCAAGCTATTTCTAACTGAGCAAGTTGGACATTCCCAATGATCAGAGTTCGAGGACTCGTTAGCGCTACTTTTTTCATCACATTGGTCCTTGACAGTAGTAGAAGAGGGAACCTGAAATGATGGCATCCTGAATGAAGGCATTTGAAATGACGGAGCCGGGAAGGCTGATGCACTGGTACTGAATCCAGGGTTTGAGAAGGGACTGCCTTGATTTCCAAAAGGTGCAAGACCTTTAACTTGGCCAAATGGTGGTGCTGTGAAAATGCCAGGTTTAACTTCAGGGTTGCTAGAACTGTTAGTTGCACTAATGGAAAAACCAGACGGGGCTAGTTTTGCACTAGGGTTTGCTGTACTACAAGACACACATTTAGAATCAGCATTTTTGTTTGGAACCATGCAAGTGGGACATTCCCACGAGCCTTCAGTTGTTTTGAATTTTGCCCATATGTTTGTACCAGCAGGTTTCTCACTAGACATTTGTTGTTGACCAAACACAGGTGGCTTTGAGACCCTGGCGTCAGGTTGTGCGTTAGGGTTTGCTGTGCTACAAGACACACATTTAGAATCAGCATTTTTGTTTTGAACCGTGCAAGTGGGACATTCCCACGAGCCTTCAGTTGTTTTGAATTTTGCCCATATGTTTGTACCAGCAGGTTTCTCACTAGACATTTGTTGTTGACCAAACACAGGTGGCTTTGAGACCCTGGCGTCAGGTTGTTCGTTAGGGTTTGCTGTGCTACAAGACACACATTTAGAATCAGCATTTTTGTTTTGAACCATGCAAGTGGGACATTCCCACGAGCCTTCAGTTGTTTTGAATTTTGCCCATATGTTTGTACCAGCAGGTTTCTCACTAGACCTTTGTTGTTGACCAAACACAGGTGGCTTTGAGACCCTGGCGTCAGGTTGTGCGTTAGGGTTTGCTGTGCTACAAGACACACATTTAGAATCAGCATTTTTGTTTTGAACCTTGCAAGTGGGACATTCCCACGAGCCTTCAGTTGTTTTGAATTTTGCCCATATGTTTGTACCAGCAGGTTTCTCACTAGACATTTGTTGTTGACCAAACACAGGTGGCTTTGAGACCCTGGCGTCAGGTTGTGCGTTAGGGTTTGCTGTGCTACAAGACACACATTTAGAAACAGCATTTTTGTTTGGAACCATGCAAGTGGGACATTCCCACGTGTTCTCTAACTTGAACTTGCTCAATAGTCTTACTTTTACGTCCTTTGGTTGATCTTTTTTTACACCACTTGGCGATGTCTCGCCTTGATTACTGTGGACATCTTTACTCGACACGCTAGACCTATCAAGCATCTTCGCTTGTTCTTTGCTTTGCTTCACGTCGCTTTCCTCTGTTTTCTCGAATTCTTTTTGTTCCTCATTGCTGCCAAGCAGTTTGTTGTCAGAGAGATACCGCTTTATCGTCTTTTGACATTCTTGGAAAACCTCTTTAAACTCGTCTGCAATTGCTTGTGTTTTGAATTTAACAGCAAACTGCTCGACCTTGGGTTCTCCATCTGCATAGTCAGCACCCGAAACCCATACCCAGGCAGTTGCAGAAGTACCATGAGGCTTCAGCTCAATTTCAGGCATGGTTGGATGGTTCGCGGCGAGTTTTAACACTAGATCTCTACGCATCAAAACACGGCAATAATCAGTTTCCAGGTTACGGCTGAGTTTAATTTCCCCAACGCCACGTTCTTTCCATTGCTTTATCTCTGAGTCAAAACGGAAGAGCTTTGCCCTGTTTTTAAATAAATCAACATAACCTTCTTCACCAGTTTTCAAATCTGTTCTCTTTTCCAAGGCAACAATAGGTTTGAAATGCGGATCAAAGGCATCTGGGTCTTCACTCCCTTCTTTTTTGGGTGAGGTGAACAACATTGCCCCTGCTCCCATGAATCCCTTTGCAGAGAGACCCCCAGAAAATGCACTCTTGCCTTCTTTATTGCCTCCTACTAAATCTGCAAATGAGAGAAGCTTGCTTTCTTTTCCAATGCTAAAGGTTGTTTTGTTCGTTTCATCGCCAATGGCAGCAGCTAACCCTTTAGCACTTGCTGGCGTCTGTTGAGGCATATTTGTGACATGTTCTTTCAATTTTGTTTTCTTATCGTCACATCCTCTGCATCCGGAGCAAGGCGGATATGAACTTGGAGCAAAAAACGTCGACGGAAGCTGCAGACGGGCAGCCTTAGCACGATTGGCGAAACTTGCTTTTTTAACAAAAGTGACAAATATGTCATCATCGATCATTTGTACCACGTGAGGTACATGTTCCCCTCCTTCTATATTCTGCGGTGTCAGCCTATCTGAGTTCGAATCACTGTCTGCAGTTGGTATATTTCTTTGCGGCTCCTGGTCATAGAACTCAAAGTCCCCATCGCCATTGGCATAATACGAGTTCTCTTCTCCGTAATAAAAGTCGTCTCCATTGTAATAATCTCCGTCATAGTAGAAATAATCATTTTGGGGATGCCCCCAATCATCGTAGTACTGGTTACTGCCATCGTATGCTGCATCTTGATAATACCTGTCCTGCATTGTTTCCCAGTCACCCTGAAGGAACCGTCCCTGCTCAGCAGCATGTCCTGATGCCATCCCAGGCCCTTGGTTGGCATTCTGAGTGCCTCTTTGCACCGCAGCATTTATGTAATCGCCAGGCATCAGGTCACTAGTTTGTCCATCCTGAGTGTTGAAATTCGATGGGAAAGCAACTTGTTTCTGCATTTGACTTGCATTAGCCGTTAATGGGGTAGAGGCTTTCGGCGAATCCTGCTGTAATGCAAATGGGGACACGGTAAAAGGCGAGTTGCTTGGTTTTGCATCATCTGGCCTTCCAAAACTCAAAGATCCTGGTGAGGTTGATGACACAAAAGAATTCTGCAAAGCTGCTAAGAAAGGGTTATCAGGCGTGCTTGTTACTTCTTTATTCTCGGGGTTGCTGGTTGCAGCGGGGGATTTCCCAAAATCAAATTTGATTTTTGATGGATCAAAACCAAAAGAGTAATTTGTGGTCGGTTTGCTTCCGGCGGGTCCAAAGTCCAATTTTGGTGTAGACACAACAGCAACTTTTTCTGCAGAGCCTTGTGATGTTTGCTCACTAGCTTGAGCACCTTCTTTACTAGAATTTTGACCAAATTTGAATGTGAATTTTGTAGCATCAAACTTGGAAAAACCACTTTCAGCTTGCTTGCCATCGACCTCGAGTACTTCAACAATTGGTTTTTCGCTGCTACTCTTTTCAGTGGCTTCATCGTGTGATTTTTCTAGCGACACATTTTGCTCGTCAACTTCAACATCTGTGCTCAAATTATTTGCGTCTCCAGTTACTGGAGTCCTGTTGTTCTCAAAGGCCTTTGAAAATTCATTTGCAGATTCTTCAGTTTTAAAACGAATGGCAAAGGTTTCTGGCTGGGGATTTTCCTCACTTGAATCAGCCGCAGTGTACCAGATAAATGTAGTAGCGGAGCCTTGCTTCTTGGTAAGAGTCATGTCAGAAGTTAGAAAATGATTAGCACAAACAATGAAAACCTTGTCTCTCCTCATGAGTATTCTTGTCTTCTTTGTTTCTCTATTCTTCAATATCTTGATGAAACCAATGCCTCTTTCTTTCCATTGTCCTTCGCTCAATCGATAAATTTTAGCAAACTCCTTGAAGACAACGTCCTCATTTTCTTCCCCAGTCGTGACATCAGACTTCTTTATCAGACTAACAACGGGCTCAACATGAAGTGTGTCATTGTACGAGTCTTCACCTTCACCGGGTGATGCATCTTCCCTAGCCGACTTGCCAGGACTAGACTTCTCTTCTGTCACACTTTTTTCTTGGGCATTCCCGCCAATTTCTACAGCTTCTCGCGTCTCTAACTCAGGCTCTTCCTCTATTTTCTCTACTGTCTCAGCAAGACCCGAAAAGAACCCAACTGGAAACACTGGTGCAGGTGAGAATGGATCCCATGACATTTCAGGCTCCAGCCTTGGCGTCAGATTGCCTGATCCCGAGGTCACATCATCTTTTGGTACATATGCAACTGAAGATGAACTCTCGTCAGTGTTTACGGAATGGTCTCGTCTCGGTTTGATAACAGTCTCATTTCCAGATTGGTTTGCTCGCATGTCAGACATTTCTCGCTGCATGAAAGCAAAAGAGAATCTAAAATCTAGTAACGAAACTCTACTGTTAGGTAACTAATGGTGACAAAATGTATAGTATGCCTTATAAGGTAGAGTGGCCTATATTCTCCCATCAAAGATTTTTCATCCTAAGTTATTTGTGGATACAAAAGAGTAGATTACTAGCAACAAGTCGAGAATAAAACCTAGCATAGATGTATTGAAGAACAGGGAAAAATTCGATCGAACTGGTTAATCAAAGAAAAGTTGCGGAGGAGTTGTTTACCGGGTAAACGTGTTTTAGATGTTAAGATAAACATTCAAATATAGCAAGGCAAATTGACCAAAAACACATTATGATAAAGAATGACTTTGGAGTAAGCGAAGCAGAAAAAAACATAAATTTATGTTTATGTTACGGAATCAGTACTCTTCTTAATGCACTGGTTTATTTGTGTTTTTCCTGCTTGCTGTTAAAAAAACGTCGCTCTGTAAGAAATAAATTTTGAAATACCTAAATAAATGCGGAAGATAGGTTGGGAAGTTTACCTCGAGCTTATGGATTCGTGCTGCAAGGACGGAAAATTCGTGATTTCTCACGGCCAGTTGCTCATGGAGGATTGAGTTTTCCAACACTAATTTGGATTCCGTTGCTGTTGTTGCATCATCCTTAAAATGAAAAAGACATTCTTGATTAGTAGGTTTGAATACCAAAGTGCAAGGGATACAACTTGCATTAGACCCGAACCTATAATTTGAAAAATATTTACTGAAGGAGACTTCTCTTGTATTTATTTTTGAGAAAATACTTTTCATTGTCTGTCTAATACACATTATGACAAAGAATGACTTTGTACAGATATGAAACTAGTTTTGGAGCAGACAAGAATTCCCAAGAATTTGACTATTGAAAACTGCAACTGAAGCACTCTGATGAGAAGGTCAAATTTTTCCACGGAAATATCGGACATTTTTTAGAAATCTTATTGTTTTACTGGTAAATTCCAATAAATCCTTCTGCCTTGATTGAAATTTCGTACGTTATTTACAGAAGTGAGCTGCCCCACGATCTGATGCACATATCGGTTGAGTAAACAAGTTATGAATCACACTATTTGCAAAGATGCATGGCCTTAGCCTTTGGAAAAACGCTTGAAGAAATACATTGCCTGGTAAGTTGGTATTCGTAACTGCAAAAAGGGTAATGGCCTGTTTACTGATAGGCTTTCATTCTTTCATAATGTGTAAATAAACCCTTAGCGTTTATGCTTAACTGTCAAAATTTATGAGGAAATCCAAGTGGTATACTAAAAAAGAACGTTCAAGTGTGCAATCTGAACAAACGTAAAATTTAATAAGCACTGCGTCTGAATTAGTGGCCATGTCGAACAAGTGCTCAAACACAGGGCCTATTCAAATAACGCAACATATTATTGGCAACTTAGGCTGTAACATGAACAAAATATATATACATTTCACACTGATACAGATGAAGTTTAGCGGTTGTGTAAGCTACAATATTAATGAAAATGATAAAACCGCCTCTCAGTTTTTTCCAAGTTAGCTTCCAGGAATATAGTAGCAGATCATTTATCGACAGTAACAGCAATAAAAAACCAAAAAAGCTTGGTTGAAAAACCAAACCAACTTAAAATATTCCTTTTCCGAAGTAATTAATTTATGAAAGCAAACAACCAAAAAATATAAAGTTCTAAAGTTGTTAACAAGCGCCCTAGACTCAAATAAAGACAAGAACATATTGCAGAAAAGATTGGCAATAGCTTTCGGTGCTATTTGCTTGCTGAATTGAAAAGACAACATTAAAGACAATTTTGGGAGAATAGACTTTACAAAAATACCTTAAAAATAGCTTTACAAAAAATAGTTTTTATCGAGCCTCGATATTGTTGAAAATTTCTGAGATGAGGCTAAAATTACTCTCTAAAGAAAGAAATTCAAATCTTCGCTACTATTTTTCTTCCTCATGAAAACTTTTCAGGTTATAAGATCAATGCTTTTCAAATTTAGCTACTCGAAAACTGCTCGAAAACTTTGCTTAAAAGCTTATAAAGATATTTCGATAGACAAGTCAAAATGTTGAGGAAATTAAAGCATGGGTATTTATTATTCTAAATTAACCCTTAAACTTCAACTTTAATCGAGCGTCGAAAATCTGAAAAAATCCCTTCTTAGAAAAAAATGGGGAACACGCTCTATTATAATCTACACACAAAAAAACTTAAAGGAAACGTTAAACCGGTTGAAAAGTGACGTAAGCAGGCTTGCATTTACCTTTAGTCAGAAGCTGTTATTCTATAACTTCTTCTAAGGCTAGTCTATGTCAAATAATACCCCAATACAATTATTTTAAAACTTCATAGAAAAACAACTGTTGAAACTCCCTTAGACATTACAACTTTCCAATGAGATGTTCCTTTAACCTGGGACAAATGATTAGAAAATTGGAATCCTTTGATAAATTGAAAATAAAACTAACCTTGTCATCTTCTGGGTAATCTTCTTGCTCATCTTCATCGGCGGATGAATACCGCAAATCCAGAACCTTGCCTATTGAGTTAACAAGAACCTCGCTATTAATGGTAAAACCGACGTCAGAAGAAGGCTGCAAATGCTACGGCTTTTATATAAGGACCGCAGAGCATGTTACGGATTGAGAGGGACATACACGTTTTTAGAGGGTTAAGGTGCCAAAATCAAGAGCAGGGTGAATTTTTGTATGGTTTTAAGTACATTCTAGAGCTTACTGGGAGGGGCTATAGCTCCTTCAGCCCCCTCATTACGCTCCTTCCGCTTCCGCAGTCCCTGCTTCTGTATCATTAAAACGGGATCAGTTCTCGTTGAACAATCAACACCAGCCATTCAATATTAAAAAACATCATCTAGAATTTCCAACAGGTAAATTTCAGTTGAGAAAATGATCGGTCATTATCATTTTTCACCGGTCATAGTGAGCTCGATTGGTACAGCTGTACACACAGTTGGTACAAAAAGAACACGTGTACATTTCGTGAAAACGAAACATTCAGCATAAATATGAACGAAAATGAAGAATCAGGTGTGGCTAACTCGGTGCTTATGACATGAACCTGACAAACATTGATGACCGAAAACCGAAATCTACTAGCTCTTGGTTCACAAGACCTAACTGATGCTGATAAAATGGCTTTGAAAAAAGTAAACATTTCACAATATACCACTTAAAGCTTTTTCATCTGACAAATCCTAGATTATAAAACGTCAGAATAAGAGTCCGAAAGAGCGAGTGGAAAATATATACCAGCTGTGGATCGAAATAGGCCAATCAGAAAGACGCAAGCACAAGACCGGTATAGTTGACCAATCAGTGCGGCGTGCCAATGGAGTCCAAGAGAGAGAAAAATTACCAATGGAGTCCAAGAGAGAAAACGAACTCCTTCTGTCTAAACAATGGCGGCTTTTTAGTTGGTATGCAAATCTATTCCAAAACTGAGGAGTGTCAGACAAAAAAGCTTTAAATGTTCTGGAATGTTTGCTTTTTTCATAGCCATTTTCAAGTTCTGTACCGCCAAAAAACTGTTCACAAATGTATGATTTCTGAAACCTACTTATGATATCAATTCTTTTGAACAAAACATACTGATGACCAAAACCCACTTGGAAGACTCAGAAATGATAAATGAAACCTACTTGGTGCTGACGAGATACCACTCTGCTCTGAAATCGCATCCCTGATTTCTTCGATCTCTGCTTCTACACCTTCCCGGAAAATCATCTGAAACCAAAAAGGAAATTATTGAATATTTGAAATATTATTAAATTTTGGATAATGACTGGGAGAAAGATATAAAACTTTTAATTTATGCAATGCAAAATATTTTGCATGTCTTCACAAGATTATAAGAATCTAAGAACAAAACTTCATTTGAAAAACTTGATATAAGTATAAAGTAAGATTATGTTTCCTTGCTACGTATTGCTACGTTTTATTTTGAAAGATTTTCTACCTTCAATCCACTAACATTTGCTTAGAATAGAGGCTTTAAAAAATTTCTATTTCTAAATGTTTAAAAGAACCAGTGGAAATCTTAATTTTAGTTCATGACATCAAAAAAGGCATATCGGAACAGTACAAACAAAAGTTCAAAACTTGCAAATTAACAACTAACCTGGGCTTTGTCCAGTCTTCCAAGGCATGTCTGCAATTTTTCTCTTGATTTGCGAAGAAACGATAAGTGGTTTCTAAGTCCTTCCACATTCTTTATATTTTCTTTCGAGGCCAAGTCTCGGAAAATCTAGGAAAAATTATCTAGCTTACACCCATTGGCAATGAATTGGACTATTTAAAAAACTGGAGATTCTCGCCATCTTCATACTGCTTTTAATAATATATTGTATTATATGGCATATTTCTTCGAAGACAATTAACAATAATTATTGGAAATAAAAGAAATAAGATTAAACTCTAACAAAGGCATTCCTAGGCAGCCATACTTCAGGACAACTTTAAGACAATCGGTGCATACTACAAGGGGCTTAAGCCATCAATCAACCATTAGCCAATCAGTGAGCGTAATTCCACTCACATGCTTATTGATTGGCTAATGCTGATTGACAAATGGCTAAAACCACTTTTTTATCTGTTCATTGCCTTAACGGGTACAGATGCCCCAAACATAAATAATTCTCGCAAAATTAATGTCGATGTAAATAGCTTGTGTAAATTGTAACGGATTCAGTAAGAGCATACCTGTGCTTGTTTGTATGCAGCATCAGCAGTAAAAAGTCCATTTAGGTAATTCAAGGCATCAGATGGGGCATCATCGCGAAAAGAGGCATCAGCTAGCATCATTCGCAAACTCTCGATCATTTCACTTCTTTCTTTGTCCTACAAAATAAGATTCAAAATGCATGCTATCTAAGTGCACAAAACCATTTTCAGTCATTCATACAAAAGTTGTAACGAAATTTATCATGGAGCAGAAATTAAGGCAAAACTTTTGAAGCATCTGAAAACTATATTTCAGACAAATTAACTTCTACCGTAACGTCTATTTAGAAGCTGGGTTCTTTTTAACCAAAAACACTCCATATTACCCCTTCCGTATATTGCCCACTCTACGTTGCATCAAAAAGATACTGACTGTTCACAGAGATCAGAATTGCACCTAAGAAGCCATGCAGACTAAACAACACTAGCAACAATATGTATCGATAGAGGCAGAGCAGCAGCTAGCTGAAACTAACCATTTAATTTAATAACATTTCTCCTGCAAGATTATACTAAACACATAGATATCAGTTAAGGTCGTAAATTCAAGGCTTTAAGAAATCAAGCTTGTATTTAAACATTGTTACAGAAATAGAATGATTCAATGCCAAATGATGACAAAGACTCGCAGAACAAAAAAAAAGAAAGGGATGATCAAAGAAAACAGAAAGTTCTTTGGTTTCCCTATTTCAAAGTGCTTCCGTCTTCGTGGTTCTTTCACAGAGAATGTAGCTGCATAACTAGGAGTGCAAATATATAAATATCTAAGTTGTTCTGGTCACTTCAAATTCTTATTTCCATTCCTTTTCTTGGATATCTGACTTTCAGGAATTTCTTCCTAGTGCCAAATACTACACTAGAAATATATTTTGCAGAACAATCTCGGCACAGCATCTTACCTTATTGCCAGAAAATGAAAACAAAGTAAGTAAAATAGACCAATTGACTTTTAGGTACAATCTCTGAATTTTATTTTATCGATATACTTTGCGTAAGTCGAATTTGTGATATTTGACAAACCCACAAGTCAAAATTTCACCAAAAAAACGAGATTTCACCAGGACACAAGTAGACTTACTCCATGAGCCTCTGTTTCGCGACTGCCTCACTTCACGGATATTACAACAGAACTAGGAAGTCTAGGACACAAGCGTTTCGCAACTAAGGCAACGTCAGCTTGAATGGCTTCATCATTCTCTTTGAATATGACCTTGTTAAGCATAACAATTTTCAGTTTCAACAACATTCTTGCTTACAAAGAAACAAACAGCTTCATTTGAGATTAATTCTATTCTTTGTGAAAAACCATAAAACTCAAGTTCTCTTTTAGAAGTGCATATAATTAAAGAGGACACCGATGCCCTTGGAATAAGCCTGATGAGACATGGTGGCGTCTTAATCATGTCTCAAACCTCTTGGAAACTTTTGAAATGATGTGGGTGAACGAATTGTTATTCCTAGGTATGGGAAAAAATTACAAACTATGTTGCTTACGTCAATCTCCTTGAGCAAAGGTGGAATCAAAGGGGCTTTGGGTCGTGCCACGTCACGGTCCCTGCAAAATAAAGAAATTGATTGAGACCTCTCTTGCAGGGTCAGAGGCTAAGTCATAATAAAACACACGAAATAAGACAAATCTGGAACAATATGTTTGAAATACAGACACAAAAATCGCATGGGACATCTCAACATGACAATTCGAAGCATCTCAACATTCGAAGCAATTACAGTTTTTGAAAACAATCTTACGTGTGACGTTTAAATTTTAACCACGTAACAAAAAACCTTCCAAATATGCAATATCAGTTGAGCATGTCGAAAATCGGGTGAGATATGACCAAAAAAAGATTTTTTGAAGCTTGCTAACGCACTAATGTTATTTGGCTCTGTTCATTACGTTATGAAGGGAGCCCAAATTACTGGAATTTCATGGGTAAAGAGCCTGTGGTCATGTGGCTATATCTCAGCCAAATCGTAAAACATTTAACTGATTTATATTTCATGATGCTCTTTCAGATTATGGGATCCAAATTCAAAAATTCTAAAACAAGACTTTTGTGACGTCATCGCTTAAGAACTCGTGCTAAGACATTATTGACAAAATTTGATGAAAAACAAATTCCTTCTTCTTGGGTGTCAAACCAAGTAGCGTAAATAGGTTTTTTAAGGTGCACAAGTTAAGAAGAATCTTTCCAAAAATTATCTTCATTATCACTGCATTATCATTAAATTCGGAAACGATTTGGAAATAAAAGGCTGCAATTTAGCGTGAAAAGAAAAGCCTGGTAGAAAGATGCAGCATTCTAGATTGACCCTCTAGTCATCTAGATGCTGTAGGATAAACCTTAAACAAAACCTTGGCATCACCAGAAACATGAGAAGTGCAGCAGAATAATCAGAGGTCGCGGATAGGTAACACAATGCGAAGCATCTTCACTCATTTTTTTTATAAGAAACTGGCAAAAGGAAACGAGTACTGGACAGTCAGAAAAAATTAAGAATCTTCAGTACCCGAAGCAAAAAAATTAAGAAAATATTAAATTGTGATAAAACTGAGAACAACGAAATTTTGTAAAATGCCTGAAAATGATTGCCCAGTTGGCCTAGAACTTAAGACACAAGGGATAAAAGTATATTTCCCACATCTATGTAAAAAAATGTCACGAACATGGAAATGGCCAGAACATTAATAAACTGGAGTACTCAACATCGACCTTTGTTTCTTAAAAAGATGAGTGTACTCAGGGCACAAGTTTAACGGGATAAATTTTATGTGGAACCGAGAATGCGTCATCTTCAGATACCACCTCACCACCTGACATAGTTTACTGCTCAACATAACCTTTAGCGAAAAAAGGGCGAGGTCAAATGACTCTACGAGAACGGGCTAGCTGAAGTTAGGAACCCTTGATTGAAAAACGTGCAAACCTTTGAGGCAAAAAGCTCCTACTTCCCTGAAAATAAATTATTGCACATTTGTATGTGGTTAGCTCTTTAAACTATTTGACAGAAATTTAACGAGCGTACAAATTTTACGACAGGAATTTTCGTAATTTGGGGTTCCTTAGAGGCACAAAATCAGGAATCAAAGATCAACTAAAAAAATGTTCATAGAAGAAAAGGTGTGAGCTACCCTTAAGATGTGTAGATTACTTCTTTCTGACCTGGAAAGGTCGTGGTTAAAGATTAAAAGGCTTAAAAAGACGCTAAATTTCGATAATGTTTGGCCTTTGTCCGAGAACACCCTTACCACCTAAATAACATTAAAACTTGCTTTTAAGGGTTTTCTGTACGCGAAAGAAAACTGCGGGAATAGCAAAATGAAAAGGAACTAATAATACTGCTCAACTCCTTTTCTCCTTTTCCACTTTCTGCTCGTGTAGTTTTTGTTTCTGTTGCAGATGCACTGTTTTTTGTTCCGTCTGAAGATATAACTTTATGTTTCAATCATTGGAGAGGCTGTCCTTACCTAAGAAAATAAATCTGCAAAGAACAGAAATATTCGCTTTGAAAGAAATTAATTCTTACTGACCCTTCATTTATTTCCAATATTCGTAATGCCTCGTTTCCAAAGTGATAGCCTCGTCTTCTAAAGCACTGGAACGAGAAAACAGACAAACAATAATGATCAAAAACCTGGAAGCTCCCTGGAAGCAATATTTTAGCTTTGAAGAAAACCTTTGAGAAGAGCAGTTTCTTGTCGTAATTAGAAAGAAACAAATATCAAAACCATTATTGAAAGACTTAGAGAGCGAGCGAATCAATATTTAAGTGCTGATGTGGACAGCTCAGTTATATGACGATACGACAGATAAAAAAGGGAGCACTACGACCCTGTTAGACAGCGAACGAGACGGTAAAAACATCATTTTAATTTCAATTAAAGTTCAACAGAAATGAAACAAGGTTATATATCACAGTTCAGATGAGTTTAAAATTCAATCAAAGATAAAGTTTCGGAAAAAAGTAGACCTGTGACAGCTGATAATAAAAATGTGGTCACAAATACTCGTTTTGAGAGGGACATCTGTCAAAACTATTTGCTAAATACTTTGTATATTAGAAAAACAACTGGCTAGGCGCATCACAGGACGAAAGTTAGTGACAAGCCTAGGTGACAAGAAAGTAAGGCTCTCCCACGAACCTCTAGCTGAAGTTGGTTTCTCCACGCGTTATCACGTGTACTTAGAATTTCATCAGCCTGAAAAAAGAGCCACAAATCATTGGATTTTAAAAGAAACTAATCTAAACCAGAACACTTTCTTGCTTCAAGTTGAGCTAATTTATTAAAAGAATCAACTTTGTCTCTGTTAAATATGAGGAGGACCAAGAGATTTCATCTAAAAATGCACGGAATCTCTCGGTTGTGTAGGAAAGGGTTATAGTGTGACGTAAAAAGAAAATTTATTTTAGGAAATTTTTGACCTATTTAAGGAAATGATTTTGATTTTTGACCAGATAAGCTAAAAGAACACCATGAAAAAAATTTAAATATGGAAAACAAATTAAATGTGTATGTTGAAAATAAGTTGAGAAGTTGGTATGGTTTATAAAGTTCGAAGCGACGAAAGTAACGACGAAAGTAACGGCGAAAGATGTTTACCAACGATTGACTCACCTTTGAAAAGAAGGATTCGGAAATGTGCTTGAGTATTACAGGGTCTACACCGTGATTACCAACTAACCGTACTGCTTCAAGGCCTCGTTGCAAAATAGACTTCAGCTTGGATGTGCTGACTTGCCTTGGAGAAAATTAATATAGAAAATATTATCATAAACCCTACGCATATAAGTTCCACAGTTATTTATCGAAACTGAAGGTTTTTTAAGTAGCGAATAGTAAATTGAGTAAAGCGAAGGATTCTTTCAAAAATTCCGTTTAGAGTCCAATTTTCCCCAACAGGGGGTGGGGGCATGGTTGTGTGCCCTATGGAATCTATCTACATAAACATGAAAAAACCGCTTTTGTGTAGACAGAGGGAGTTCGTTCTCATCTTAGGACCCTATTGGTAAGAGTCTCAATAGGCAAGCGGCACTGATTGGTCAACCTCAACAGTCATTTGCTCGCGTTTTTGATTGGCCTAATTCCTTCATATAAATATTTCCTAGCGTAGAGCTTTCGATCTTTTTTCTGACGTTTAATACTCTGAAAGGTGTCAGACGAAAAGCTTTAGTAACATGTTTCAAAATGATTGCTTTTTTCAAATCCATACAGTCTTAAAAATTTCGTTTAGTACGTATAACAACATTCTATCTGTAATTATTCTAACTGGTGTAAGTCGTTTAATGTTTGCGAAATAGTGTGTAATGAAAACACTTTCAAATATTCACGTACAAGGCCCCTTTTCAGGAAAACCATACTTCTGTTTATAAAACGCAATCCGATCTTCTATTTCTGTCATCAAAAGAACTAGCTCTCTCTATTTCAAAGTTCAAACTCTCATTTCTTCTCCGTAACACACACATTTCTTCATTTGACACCTTTGTAACATTATGCCTTGATTCAAATAGACAAGCAAAATGGAAACATTTGGGCAAGCTCTTAATTTTTCAGATTATTTAGGTTTCACGTTCAAAAGTATCAAAGTTGTATTTCTCTCAGAAAGTCGACAATTTAAATAATGTATAAATTATATTCTGCTGAAGATGCTTACAAATGAATTCGAAAGAAGCATTAACGATACTACTTTGTCAATTTCCTTTCAAAGTTTATAGTTTTTTCAAGCAATTAAACAAAACTTTAGAATACACTTAAGGTTTTCGCCTGACCCTATTAAGGGTAGATATTTGAAAATATTGTTTTGCGTTTAAACAGATGCTTGAATTTTGAGTGCATGAAAGTTTATACGGAATAAACAAAGCAGGATAATGAGAGCTAAATCTTAGAGTTGTTGTGAAAGTGCCCTAGAAAACGCACGAAAATGAAAAAGGAGCGGACAGATTCTACATAAATAAATAAATATAAGGCTTTGGAAAGTTTAACTACACGAAAAGAGATGAAAAATACGAAGGATGGAAGGGAAAACAAGGAGGATAGGGGTTGAATATTTGAAAAATGCCGTTGTTATTGCTTGGAAACAGTTGTTGTACAGAATGGCTATAAAGCTCTCCTTGCAGAGTTTCTGAAAAGATGGTGAATATTTGGTAAAGATAAAAGTATTACAAGAGAAAAGGAAGTATAGAGGTTCATTAATGATGTACACTGGAGGGCCTCTTGAAAATCAGCATTGCTGAAGGGCTTCTCTCCTTAAATATATGAAATGAAATGAAATAAAACATTACCAAGTCTTCCCTGTGTGCAGCCGGAATGCTGCATCCCACCATTCAGCTTGTGAGCTTGTACATAAGGGAGGACCGATGACTGGTGGCATCAGCAAAGGCTCAAATTGGCTCTTGTTATCTCGCTCACTGAATATCAACTTATCAACGGCTGTATACACAACGGCTTTGACAAAAACCTTCAAGAAAATTAGGTCAGTGATCCTTTAAAGTCTCACAGCATTTATAAAAAGGGTGCATGATAAATTGAATATAGATTTATGTTAGAGGGAGTTTCTTTTAACATTAGGAGATCACCTGGGTAGGTGACAGGGTAAGGTCTGTGATCCTTTAAAGTCTCACAGCATTTATAAAAAGGGTGCATGATAAATGAATATAGATTTATGTTAGAGGGAGTTTCTTTAACATTAGGAGATCACCTGGGCAGGTGACGGGGCAATGTTTGTTTGGGACAAAAAACCTTGTGAAAAGATGTCAATGCGTCCTTTAAAATCCTTAGGACTGGTGACATCTTAGTTGCTTTAATGGTTATTTGCCTAAATGCTTAATGACCTGAACTGAATATTGAAATTGCACAAAATCATAGAAAACGATCAGCTTCTCAATCATGTCCCTAAAACTTATATTCGGTTGGATTTTGACCATTTTGCTATAAAATGTCTTTGAACAAACTTCTGAGCAAACTTGGTCTCAGTGCGGAATTGCAGTGTGTCTTTTTCGTAACTTCTCTGGTAAAACCCATCATAAGAATGGAGGACAACCCTGAATAGCATACTGTAAATTACCACGAAGAGAGAACTTTCTATTTGAATAATCAGACTCTTTGTAGATTGCATGGATAGGCGGGAAAATAAGACACTAGTCAGACATATCTTGGATATTTTTGGAAACCTGGCGTTCAGGTCATCTTTCCGCTATCAACCCTAACGATCATTATTGCGAGAGTAAAACAGCAGAGTCCGGAAAACATTACGGTCACACGGCCATTGACCGAAGGAAGGTCCACGAAAAACGATAGAAGTTCCTGTGACACACCCAAGCCGCGCCTACTTTCTATTGTATTGTGAGGAAGGTTTGCTTCTGGGATGTTTTTGTCTGGAGGAAGGTTAACAACTTTTCCGGACTCTGTAAAACAGAGCTTCAAAGCATTCCAAAATCCCTTAAGTGCTGCAGTGCTGCAGCGGTTTTCGTAGTGGTTTCAAGTCCTGGTCAGAATCATAGTTATCATAGATGATAAAATATCATAGATCATGTTATAAATATAGATGACAAAATAGGATATTATTTAGCACAGTTGTTTACATTTAGTTCATGACTCCTCTCATGATTATTAACAGAAGTTAAAGTTCAAAATAATGTAAAAGTGTATCAAAATTTTGAGGGTGGAGTTAGTTAGCCGTGGTTGTGTAGTGCATTCCATCATGTTTAGATCTACTGTAACTTTATTCTATTATATGTTAGTTTTTCTTTTAGTTTAGATACATGGCCCCTTGTAAACCAGAATTGCTGAATGGCTACCATGCTTTAATAACTGAGAATGAAATGAAATGAAATATTTTAATTGGCCTGTCGGGTAACAAGCCCTCGTTTTCCTCTTCTTATGGCCTCCTGCTATAAGATGCAAAATACGGAAATAAATATAAAATGTTAAAAAATCAGGACAAGAGCAATTCAGAATAAAGCATGGATGTATACATGAAGATAAATTCAGCGGTTTAATAAAAATGTACCTCGAGATCCAAGGAAGACAGGGTAAAAGGCGAACAATTTTTCAAATCGTCGACGTCAAATTGAATTTCTTCAAACATTTGGTTGACGAATGTTAGCGCTAATGAGAAAAAGAGCAATTAATATGATAATGAAATAATGATAATAAATACGAAAGCTGATGAATCATAGACAACGATGTATTTTAATAGAACCATGACAGGAATTCAAATAGAACCGGGTACCAGAAACCAAGTATAGTTCTTTCAAGCATTCGGACACAAAGGTAAAATTTTTCTGCGTTGCGTTGCGTTGCGTTGCGTTGCGTTGCGTTGCATTGCATTGAGTCATAATTTACCGATTTAGTAAGTAAAAGTAGCAAGTTGATTTGATACGGGCTATTATGCTTGCTAACACCTCTCCGTTTTCCTATTGCTGAGGATATGAAAAAGCAGAAGCTAAAAAATTAGGAGTAATAACGATGGTTACACTAAATGTAAAGAGATCTTGCTGTTGGAATATCGAAGGCATCTATGCTCAATTTTGTTGTTCTCTCAACTGATTAACAAAGAACAAACAGAATTCGTCGTCTCTTCACATTACAGTAGATTCGAGACTTAGGACATATCAAATCTAGTAGAGGCATAGCTCAAGATATAAGAAGGGCTTTCTCATAGATGCAGGCTTTAGCTGGCGCCCGTAGGAAGCCTGTGTAGAAATTATTTTCAGAGGGCCTATTTCAGAGAAAACTATTTTTTCATCGTCAGACATTCACATTGCAGTTAGTAAATCGTCAAAATAGTCAATTGATTTATTTCCTGTTCGATTAACATGACATTTCAACATCTGCTACTACTTTTGCGCGAATGCTCGGCCCTTTTTAAACTGCGCTTGCGGAGCAGACACTTCTAGAGTGGCAGAATTTTTCTAAATAAAAAATCTTGCATAATAAGTAATGTAAAAAGAGACAAAAAAGCCAGAGTGCCGAAGCTTACCTTCAGTTTTGAGTGGGTTGTCAATGAAATGCCAGTTCATCCCGATCCAAACAGTAAGGCTCAAATTGTTCGGATTTTCAGTTACAGCAACTTGAAAAAAAACAGAAACAAATCTAAAGTAATTCGGGGTGGAGAAATAATGCATATTGAAGTCTTTCTAAAATGAAGAATCTCGTTAATCGAATCTTCATTTTATACCAAGTCTCAAAAAGTCCCCTCCTTGCTTTTCAATTTTTCGAGAAAAAAACCCACTAATGAAATCCCCATTTTACGCCCCCTCCCCGTTTATCATTTTGGAGCCTCGTGTAGCATAAAGCCTGGTTTCCATATAGCTTTTCATATAGCTTTTATGCATCGGCGACACTTTTAACCCAGGCCTTCTAGGGAGCCTTTTGACAACAAACCGTGCCAATGAGTAGGCATGTTGATTGATAATGGTTGATTGGCTAGTGTGAGTCACGTGTTCACACATAGCCGCCGACGTGTCGACGATGCATGTTTCGAATAAAATTTTCATTCATCGCCGACGTCGCCGATAGAACGTCCCCGACAACTCTGTGGGAGTGTTACCATTAAACTTTCACTCGTCGGCGACCTGTCGGCGATGCATCGCCGACGCATAAAAGCTATATATGGAAACCAGGCTCAAGGAAACGAATCGAGAACAAAAAGAAAGAGAGAAACCATTACTAAGAAGTGAGTATCCTTGTCATACTGCTTTGTTTTGAATATATACGTCTTTTTCCATTTCAAGAAACCACTATCTTGTTTCATTTCTTCTGTTTCCAATTCCAAGGGACTGCTAGCCATTCACCCCATCTATTTGGAATTGTGTCATTGTCTACCCAAATTATTTAAAATGTTCCGCGCTAAAGAAGCTTCTAATGCAATCAACACTGATCTTGACGTGCTCCAACAAGGATGAACAATTCTCACAAGTGCAACGATTGAAAACTGTAACTTTCATTTTTTTAAATTCATAAAATATCCTAAAAAATTTACACCAGCAATTTTTCTATGCAAAACATAACTTGAAGAACGTCTCGTCGTATCAACTGACATATCACTGCAAAACCCTTTGGAAAAAGGATCGCTTTCCTCTTTACTTTGGAAAATATTCTATCTTCAAAAATATTATCAGAACACACGATATTAAAATTCAAATACCTTCATCGTATTTCTGCAAACGTTCCGGGCTAGGAAGTTCAAATTCAGCGGTGGAAAACTCTTTATCCATCAGAAGAAATGACTGAAAGTATTTGAAAATAAATTAGACAGACGCTGCATAGCAAAAAAGAAGCAGATTCGCTTTAAAAGACTCTATACAACACAAGCAAAAGGTGACTTACGATCATAACCGTCTTTGAGTTGCCCATGTCAAGATAGAGTGCATCAGAGCATAACCTAACCAAGTAACACGGATAATGGGATACGGAACAGGGATAAACGTTTTGTTTGTTGAATTTATCTATTTTCTACACGCAAACTATACTTGAATTGTAAATAGACAGTTTGTTGCAACGATTTGTTGTTGCTTTGTCAATGTTGTAAATAAACCTGTCAAAAATTACGACCTCTTAAATTATTGAGAAAATGACGTCATCAAACGGGTCCAAAATCTTTACCATGTCATTTCTCGCTTAATTGTCATTGTTTTGACAAGTGCTAAATCTCCAAATGGCTCTGGATTACTTTCTTGAATCAATGGAACTATTTTCGATAAGAAAAATTAATGTCTGTGGCATCTTTTGACACCACAATCATTTCAAATGAAGAAAATGTTTTTTGTTTAGAGCAAAATACACTTGGTGGAAGACAATCATGTTTTATTCCTTTTGGAAAATTCGCTAGTGAAGAACGGAGCCAGGATGTTATGTAGATGTGGCCGTATTTTGCACCAAGCAAAAGACATTTCTTCGTTTGAAATGATTGTGGCGTCAAAAGATGCCACAGACATTAATTTTTCTTATCGAAAATAGTTCGTTTGAGTCAACAAAGTAATCCAGAGCCATTTTGAGATTTAGCACTTGTCAAAACAATGACAAACAAGCGAGAAATGACATGGTAAAGATTTTGGACCTGTTTGATGACGTTTCTCAACAATTTAAGATGTCATAACTTTTGACAGGTTTATTATACAAACTTCTTTATGATTTTTTGTCATTTTCTAAAAAAAGAGCAACTGCTTCTCATGACACAAATGTTAATGGTTAACAAATAAGATTAAATAAAGAAAAGCAATAACAAATCGTCAATGTGAGTTCTGCTCACCTTTTTGGGAACTCGCATGTCTCCATAGACGCTTTCAATCAACACTCTTTTCCCCTGAAACAACGCAAAGATAATTTTATAAGATACATCTCTTCACAAGGGGTGTATCACTCTTTCCAAACAGCGTACGAGATTTTCTTAGCAATATGAATTTTTGAAATAATTCGAGAGATTATGCTCGAAGCGATAAACTGGTATCGCAATGCAGTGATTAACGGTTGGATGTGCTTGCAGTTATAGAATTACGAAATATGTGTGAATTTTTTTTATGCCACATACAAGTCGCTCCAACTAAAGTAAAATGGGAAAAAATGATAACTAAAGTTTGTAGGAATAAGGAAACTGGTAAAACGCATATGAATTGAATATCAAACTTGATGTCAAAATCTACAAATTTTTATACATGAGTTGAAAAAATCTACAGAAACATTTTATAATCAAAATATTTAAATTTCATCATATCAAAATAAGACGGTTTAGTAGAGTAAGAAACTTCATAATACAAAGAACAAAATTAACTAGGAAAAATTGAACATACAGCCTCAGTGCAAATATCAGCAACAGCTGCCAAAATCCATTCTTCTCCATGCTCTTTTTCCAACGACAGAATCAGATGATCTGAAAAAGGAATAGATTTAATTTCGGATGGATAGGAAATTGGTTGGTATTCTAAACTCATGCATTTTGGAATTAGTTTTAATATTAAATTGACCGTTGGACGACAAAACCACGCCTTCAGACTTGCACGCCTCAGGCCGAAAGAGAATTGCAATTATACAGAAAATTAAATTACACGATGCAGATAAAAAAACGTTTTGAATATAAATTTCAAGTGGTGAGTAGCCACGCTACCATCCCCCCCCCCGGGAGCCCAGCAAGGAGGAAGTACATTTACTGTTTTTTTTCAGATAACAGCATATTAAAAACTACCACGTGAAATCGTTAAAAGTCAGATCGACATGAGAAATTATAATTATACATTAGAAAATTTTAAGAAAAATTTATATTGGAAGATATGTTATAGGCTTTGATTGAATTGATTTATTCACTTGAGGGACATATTTTAATAGTATATTTCATAAAGCTTAAAGGTACATACTCTTTTAAACATTGATACTGAAATGTTGAAACAGGAAGAAATGCAAAAGTATTTCATAGCAAAGACTAACCTGTCTGGCACAAGCGGAGACATGCCATTGAATGCCAAATCATTTTCTGGCTTTCCTGGGGCATTTTTTGGTGCAACCAGGCCACTTCTGTATTTGGCTCGTGGATCGACGAAGAGACGACAAAACAGACACATGCCAGTCTTGACGCAGTGGCCCAGGACATTTGACCCTGTAGTCACAAAAAACACATTTTCTGAATGTTTAATTCCGAATAGCTGGCCGGTGGGGGATAAAGATCGGGGTGACTAGCGAAGCCAGATAGGACAATCCAATTAACCTCGAGTCATACGTGTCGAGGAGTTTTTTTTGACAGTATTAACGAATCAGAGGTCAGGGAATACTCTTCTGCCAATATGACATCCAGCAAAACAAGTTCGTTATCCGGATTGGCTATCTCCAGCCTAAAGATTTCGAGTCCTATCATGAACAAGCTGATCAGCAATAGGGAGATATTTTTGCAATAGCCTTTCAGATAGCCATTTAATGACGCCTTAAAAGTATTTCAAGAATTTACTAACTTGAACCATATGACCTGAAGAGACATCATGGAACACTACAAATTGTGCAAAATCAGTTGACTCTGAGACAATTTGCAGAAATATGCCCAGTGAAGGACTTGAAATTTAAGGATGAAGTATTGCTTTTTTCGCTTGTAACGAGCCTTAGCTATATCTTGCGCGTCCGTAACTGAGTTGCAAAAGATTGAGAGGTACTTTATGGCTCAAATTTGAAAATTCGAAAATTAGATATCTCAAACGTTATCTTTTGGGCACAAAATTCATTTTTCTGCTTATTCTGTTTCATCTTCACATTCACACACCAACATGTTCTTGAAATACACTATTTCTCAACATTTCTGTGTCTCGGGAACTTAATTTCAATATTCAACGCGCCTTAATTACAAACATCTGCTGCAAAGGGGGGGAGAGGAAGATTTCAAAAATCCAGCATCTGCTGACCTTATCAGCTTTGCTTTAAAAACCTGAAATAAGAAAATTCTTAGCAGATAAAACATCACCTTATCAATGACGCTGGCGCTAATTCAAATCATCAACTTTCCCATGATCTTCTGCAAGCTAATGTCAATTGACCTTTCAACGTATCAAGTAATCACCACTACAGAACCAAAACCACTTTGAACCAATGATTCAATCAGTTCATTAATCTCGCCGTAGGATTTTGCATAAGCGAATGCAAGCTTATCGAATCCACAAGCTGATCATTCTAATAGTCCTATTTGCTAACTTGCTTACCAAAAATTGATGCATTATTTGCAAACCCATATAGACCTAATCAACTAATCAGCGAATCACTCTGCTAATCACTATGTTAATCACTCTGCTAGCCCTACCTGTTTATGACCTTATAATTCTTGCCAAATAAATTTATTCGACCATTGCCATGAGCCAGCAAAAAGGTTTTTATAAGTAGTCAAAAATATATCAGTTTCGATGAAATTAAATATTTTTCAATATTGTTTCTAAGAAAAGCATCAGAGGTGAGAAACTCCGTTCTGTGAATACACAAGAATCATCAATTTTCAATTTGCTAGACAATACTTTTGGTGTATTTCATGCTTAAGCCTGAGAGGACTGGTGTGGACATGGCGACCAACGCTGTAGGTAACTGCTTTTCTTCAAACCTATTTACGCAAAGAAAAACTGAATTGCAAAGAGATCTGCATAAGATTTTGAATATTCATACTTCCTGAGCCACTCTATAGAGTAGTGCTGCGAGGTGATGGTAAACCTGCCCCCTGGCTTCTGAGAGGAAAACATCAAGTTCGCTTTTCGTTAGATTGGGCAGTTTAGACGAATCGAAATTGAACGATTTTCCTACGGCTTCATCTAGCCTGTGGAAAAAACACATTATTTACAAGATTTTTCAAAAATATATTTCTTTAATAAAATGGCAAATATGCTCCTAGCTTCTTTAAAGCATCGAAAATCTGCTAGCATTTCGCCAATTGAATAGATTCTGACTTTGGGAAGTGCAGCTTGGTAATCAGACAAATAGCAAATACGGCGACAAAAAACGACATTTAATAGTAGTTCTCGACTTCTATTGACTAAAATCCATTGAAAATCCAATATTTGACAGAAAATCCGATATTTGATTTTCAATGGATTCAAGTCAATGGAAGTCGAAAAATACTATTAAAATGTCATTTTTTATATCTAGCCCAGGTCAACCAATACAAACGTTCGTCTCCACATTATTCCTTGCAGCTACTCAATTTTTGTCTGCTACTTCTCTCACCATACGCAAACCAAAGTTTGCTGTCAAATCAAAATATTTTTGGCAAACGCTATCATCGGTCTCCATGCGTGATAATTTTCTTCTAAGCCTTATTTCGTACGATCTTCGTTGCGCACAAAGCATGCACAGTTACCACAAAACAAAAACACGTAAACAATGTTATCATCAACATAGCGAGTTCATATAACTAGGAATCGCTTGTGAGCATATTTTGTCTCTATATCACCCGTAAATTTCTTCCCAAAAGACAGCGAGTTTTCATAATAAATTCCATAAAGTATGACATAATAATAACAACAACTTATCGAAACTTAACGAGGCTGCATGGAGCTTGTCATGGCGATTATCGATAGCAATTGCCCAGCAACACTTACGAGTCGCTTGTAAAAGCTACAGAAAGCCTGTTACAGTTTCGCATTCACCCAAACATTGTTCAGTATCGGGCATTCTTTGAAGCAAAAACGTGGCCAAATCTTTCTAAAAACATCTGTCATCAGACGACAAAGTAGTGTTACCTTAACATCAACAGCTAATTCGTATATCTTGCTTCGAAGCGTTAATGCTGGTTCAGATATCACTTAATTAAGAAATGTTCACAACAATAAGTAAATCAGGGAAATAAAAAATTGGCTGGGACAAGTAAAAACAACAGCCCTGCACCAAGTGTTTAGTAGAGTTGTACCTTCAAGGAAAATTTCCGAACAGCTGACGGGCGAAAGCCATTAAAATTTATCAAGGTAACGCTCAAAAAAACTTCACCTAGAAAATACTATACGGAACATTCGGACGGGAAGTAAATCAGTCGAGATGCGGAGCAAAATGCGAAGGTTTTTTAGGATCATGAAAGGTTACGTTCTCATTTTTTGCAGTAATTCAACCACTATCTAGCAGGAAAGATTTGACATCCGAGCAGCAAATGAAAGAGACCATTTTTAAATAAAGAGCAACCGAATATTGCCCGTGGGAGGTAAATCTACAAACCGAGAGATAATTAAAAAATCTCTACGAATTCAACCATTTTGATCAGCAGGGTTTTCCTGAGTTAACACGAAAATATTTTTTATCATCTTTTTGTGATGGTAAATTTCACAGGCCATTTTTCTTGCGTTGATCGTGCAAAGCTTTGTGTGTTACGTTATATGCTATGTATTTAACTGAAAAGAAAGACAATCCGGGCTTAGCAGAAAAATATCAGGCCAATAGGTGGAGACCAGTGCTAGAGTTTGCCAAAAAATGTTTTGATTTGGCAGCAAACCTTGGCTTGCGTATGGTGAGAGAGGTAGCAGACCAAAATTGAGTAGCTGCAAGGAAGAATGTTGGGACGGATGTTTGTATTGGGCCAGGGGTGTCCACCTGCTTTATATTGTCCCAATGTTATAAAATGTGATTCTTTAATGATGATAATTTTATACCGTTTACACGAAATCTCCGAGGCAAGCTATCCAGTTTATAACTGAATCTACACACAGAGAAAAACTCGGAGGACTTAAGGAACGAATTAGAAAAGACTACCTTCCTTCCTTAGAAGGAAAGTATTATAAAATTGAAGCTCATAATTGGTAATAGGACATGAAGCATAAGCATATCCTTTGAGTCTTTGGTGTATCGTATACAAACTACGGGTTTAGCGACGCTTCGATCGAGAAAATGGAAACAGGCATGGGTTGAGCATGGTTTCAGTTAAGTAAATCAAGCAAAACCTGAAAACCAAGGGTAGATCAAAACAGAGAAATTATTAAGATGTAATTGCCAATGGTACAAAGCAAGTATACCAACAAAACTCGCCATCCAAGTAATTCTTTATCTGAACCTTGGTTTATACAACCCCCCCCCCCTCTTTACCTCTCAGTCGTTACTTGAGCTTAATACCCGGTGCAGTGTCCAGAAAAAAGATTGGGAAAAAACAATAATAAGTTACCTGTAAAAGGCATCTTTAATGCTTTGAAGCTGTGATGTCTTAAGTGTTGTGTTTACCAAATAGCACAGAACCTGGATATGTGCCATAAGTGCTTCAGCGGCCTCCCTTGCATCTATGACAGAAAGTTGGAAAGTGAGGCCAAGAAAAAAGCGACAAAAACGACGTCATATGGTTTACCTACCAGATTTAAGGAATTAAAACGTTGTCACATTTCAAATGAAGCAAGTACCTTACACTTCACTGTACTGCATAGAAGAATGAAGAGCATTTTACTCACCTTGACAAATATTTAAGCAAATAAAAAATAACATAAATAAACGTGGAAAATTAAAAACGACAGGAGCAAATATTGATTGCAAGGGAAGTTTGAGAAGATGCTCCTGAAAACTTCGATCTAAAACAAATCTGACATTGTAAGAATTCAGTTATAGGTTAGCGTATTCAATATATCAAGATTTTAAAAGAGGTGGGGCTTTCCCTTCTTTGCACATCTACTAAGAGAGTTCCGCCTTTAAGAAAATAACTTCTCTCAAAATTTACAGTTTTTTCTTAGTGCTGTAGTGAAGTATTTTATAATGATGTAGCCGTTCCTAATATATTAATGTAATTTTGAATTGTATGTAGATATACGTAAATTCAGTGATGAACTGAAAGTATGGAGAAATTCGAACAATAATTGAAGCAAGCACGTGCTAAGAGTGGTGTGTCGTTGGCCTGTTGTTGGCCACTAATCATGAAGAAATTGATGGTTTTCAAGATAATCTTTTATAACTTGGATCATTAGGAAACGTTTAAACTGGTAATAATGAGATTAAAACGAAAAGCAATTTGACGAGACAGCAATAATGACTGGATTACAGGGTTCTAAAAACGTTAAATATAACTAATATTAATTGCAAAAGTAGCCCACAAAAACATGCATTCCAGATCAGTTGACTGATGATCGCATCAAGCAAAAAAATTGACTGGCAAATAAGCAAAGGCTTGTTCCACACACTGAAGTGTACACAGTCGATTCTCTCTAGAGCGGACACCTGCACGGCTTGCTTCTGGTGTCCGCTTTTGCAAAGTGTCCGCTAAACAGAAAATATACAAAAGAGTCCGATTATATCCAAGTAATGAGAAGGTTCATTTTTGTGTAAAGAACGATAACATGTTTGCCTGAGCTTCTTAAGTAACGTTCACCGCAAAAGAATTCCAGCTGTATTCAAATGAGTGCTTATCTCTTTACAGTTGAAGAAAAAAATTCTGCCAAAACCTAACTACGGGAAACCAAAACAGAAAATATGGAAAACTGAAAGCTGCTTTTGATATTTAGCATGAAAGAGACCTGAACGTTTTAACATACAATAAGAGTATTGTTAGCTAGTGCCTAAAACTTGCAGGTTATAAGTGGTATTTATAACATGGGCATTGCTTTTATTATCAAGGCTTGAAAACAATTTGGTTCATTCAAAAGGCTTCTGCGGTCCGCCTTGAAAGTATATCACTCCTAACTGGAGGTATAAAATTTGGGTAAAATAACGGAGACTTGGCGAGATATCGAAAATTTTATCCTAGAGTTTGGATGTTTGTTTATGTTTTCGCAAAACTTTAATCTGAATAGGAAAATTGGTGAATTCAAATACTTTCGCTTCTGATACTATGAGCTGGAGTTTCTATTGACTATCTGAATTCGATGTGATGTTCACGATCAGTCGCTTCTAAATACGAAGCAGGATCGCAAGTACTTTAGAACAAGAATACCCGACAGCAAAATTCTTATCGTTGATTTGACCCATGGAATAAACTCAGATTTAGATAGGAAATCAGTCTCCCGTGAACAGTGTTCCGACGCCTATCGCAAAAACATTGATCGGATGTTGAAGGATGTCCGGCAATCAATTCCTTCTGCCATATTTTTGCAATCAATGTTAATGAAAAAAATTTCTGCGTAACATTTCGACGTAGTTTCAAAACAGAAAGTTTTACCAAGTTTGATCCATCCAAAAAGATGAATTACAAAAGAAAAGCAACATAAAATAGTACACATTTATGTATGAGAAAGCATATGTTTTTGGCATTGGCATGTCTCTGCAAGTGCTAACGAATTTTTAATAAAAGTTTTACAAAACTGAACGATTGATCTTAGATTAAGCTGGCTTTAAAGTTTAAGGGATGTTTTAATCGAGTGTTATCATTTCAAAACATATCTCATCTCATCGCACAGTACCAATACCAAAACAATTCTACCATCTTAGCCCCGAAGATCAAGGCTGTTTACTTACCATCAGTAACGTCTCGAAATAGCTCAATCGCTTCAACTGCGCCCATTAACAGTTCTTTGCAGTCTTTGAATAGCTGGATATTGAGCAACGAACGACAATGCGTGTACGCCTCTCTGTAATCACCTTTCAAGAGACAGTTAAATCTTTATGAATATACGGCAAGTATATTTGAAAACGTTACACAATAACTACAGTATTTTGCAAATCATCTGCAGACTACGTCATTGAACGAAAAAACTGGAAACTTCAAAGACAGGCAAAGGAAAGTCTTGAGATCCGAAAATGGTTTGGAAATGGTTTGGAAAAATCGTAATAAAAACAATGAAAAATAATTTGATCTACATAGCAAAAGTTGTTGAAAGGGGTCTGCATGTTTTGCTAAATCAAAAAAGGGCTAATAACTCGAAGGGCCATTTAAAAATCTTACAGATTAACATACCATCAAACCTAGCTCAGTTAAAAATTTGATAGGGTATTTTGAATTCTGAAAGATTTATGAGATTTTCACCTTTGTCCATATAAATTTCCAGTAGTTTAACATGAAGACTCGGATCTCTTGGATTTCTCATCTTTGAAACGAAAAAAAAATAAGATGAAGCGAATGACATAAAACACGTGAATTAGGGTTGAATTTGCTGACAGGCTGTGTTCAGCGTTTTAAGTCCAAGTCGGTCATTATAAAGCGGTACTACCTGTGTTAGTTTAAAGTAGTTCTAACCAGTTGCCGGAATAAGAATAAAGATGTTATGTGTGTTTAAAAAACGTGAATCAATATATTGCGCACAAGTTAAAGGCCTTTCCACCGATAGGTGTATTTTCTTGAAACTTGGGAAAAACCACGCAGCAGCCCAAAATAGCTTCAAGAAAAATGAGCATCAGAACATCGTTGTGAGAGCAAATAATCACGCAGAATTAGCTATAACACCAAACAACCGTTACGTAAAACCTGCTTGATGTGAATTTAGACAGAAAGTTAAAGCAAGATGATCAAATAACAGGCTTAAATATAAGGCGACAATGAGGAAGTGAGACTCGACAAATGTACTCGTTATACTCGTTGTTCAACTTGTGAACAAAGTCAATCGAAATTCCTCATGAGGTGAAATACGACAAAACGAAGGCCGACAAAGCTCTTTAACAGGAGTCGACAAAGCAGTCTTAGATCGAGATACAAATATCTATTCAACACGTTACCAAATTCTGCGCCAGCAAATCCTCAATTTGTTCATAATCCTTCTCTGGCAAGGTCGTTAAAAGTTGCCACTAAAAAGGAAATTATAAATGAAATTTATTCACTTTGATGCAAAACAAAGTTTCATTTCTCTGCTTCATAAAATTAGAATTAATAATGGCTGCAACGTAATTAAAACACTGTGGGGAATAACGGGAAAAAATTTCCATTTGCTAAAATTATTAGCTGCCGTTGCAGACCATCGCAACTAAAATTGCTTAAAAAAGGAAAAAACAGGAAATTTAACTCATTCTATTCATACTTTGACAAAGTCGATAATTAAAAAACGTCTAAATAAAAAATTTAAGTTTCAAATGTTTATACCAAGTACATGCTTCAATTATTCAAAAACATGATTTGGGTTTTGAAGATTCGAACTAAAAGAAGAAAAACTTCATCCTCAAATAACGATTCCTAAGTTTCTTTAGAAGGATTTAAGTTTTTTGCCTGTGGAATTGCAACATTGAGGCTGTAGCGTTCCAAGTCTACAGCAGCGGTTCTAAATAGCTTACAAGGAAATTAGAAATATTTGGAAGTTATGGTCTTAAACTGCAATAGTGACTTTTCAAGAACCACTACTCTATCTAGAAGACGTTGAAGGGCTTCTTTTTTCGCGTTGGAGAGAGACTTCCAGACGACATTTGCATGTCGTTAGTGACACTCCACAAGGCCATAGTAAATGTTAACCAGCTGAAATTACTGAACGATTCTCATCAACACTAAAGCCTAACAAAGACTTCTCCTTTAACTTCCTGAACTTCCACTCCCATTCAATCCCTCGCCAACAATTATACCTAGTAATTTTGTCTCCTTGACCTGCTTAATTTCTGAGCCATTCAAAGCAATTGGGCCATAGGATGATATCCTGTTTTTTCTTTATGTGGCATTACTGTATCTTATTATTCAAGAAAGAAGGTAAAGATTCAACTGCTGTTTGTTATGTTTCTGTACCAGTAATCTGTACAGATTATTGAGGATGACCGGCAGTCACTATGAGAGGGTTCGGCAGTCACTATGAGAGGGTTCGGCAGTCATTATGAGCGGTGCCTATAGGTGGAATAGGATGTTATTAGCAAAAGAGGCGATTACGCAGTAGGATATTTTGTATGCAATAAGGGCATAACAAACTGACGTATGCGAAGAAACTCCAGGTAACAAATAAGCTTAATAGGCTCACCTTTAGATTGAAAATAGCAGGGTGATTCGGAACCACCTGTTCTGCTCTGTCAGCCCAGACCTGTTGAAAATCAAACGATTAGTATCAATAACCTGAATTTGATCATTGAGACAGAATAAACAAAGGGCAAATGCTTCTTCTAGGTTTCATGGTTGGGCAGAAAAAAACAAATTCAGAGAGTCTTACTTGATCAGGCCTATTCTACGGTTCATCGCAATATACAGGATCAGAAGTGGAAGATCAAGTTCCCTTAAGGTTATAAGCTTTTCATGTTCACCCTTTCCTCCGACACTCAAAAACGTATCGTGAAAGGTAATGTGAAAGTCAGGTGAGAGGAAGGGTGTCGCGTTTAATTGGCACCTTTGATCTATCAGCGAATCCAACCCCGCACCTCAGTTCAATGAGCGGATAAATTAAAAACCAAAATTAAATCAATTTAGTTTTGCTTGTTGAAAACACGAAGTTTCAAGCATGTAAGCTTGATAACGAGTACATGCTCAAAAAGTTGTGTTTTAACTATCAGTACTTAATTTATCTCATTTTGGTACTTAATTAATTCACTCATTATCTTTGTTATCGTTATTTGGATGAGTTACCACACGCAATATTTAATTGTGATATGCGTCGGTTCATGAAACTTCGAGCATTATACTATACATCCAAGGAATCGTGAAAATCCAGATTGGTGAATCAGAATTTGGTCGAGCTGGTCGAGCACCAATCTCAACATATTTATTTTGCATTCTTGACTGATTTCACTTAATTATTTAGCTATGAATTAATGAGTTAGAATTAATAAACTAAATCTTGCAATGGGTTATGTCTAAAATTTTTTACTGATCTAATTAAAGATAAATTGATATTCATAATGATAATTATTGATGGTGTCTCTTTATAATCAAACCTGATGTTATTTCAACAGAGAATGCTTAGAATTTTTAAATCTACGATTTTATTAAAAATTGCCCCATGAAAACCTTCACGTTATCGCTTTAAACCCACCCTTATACTCAAAAGGGAGACGGAAATTAAATCAAACATATTTTGCATGTGTTTTGCTTTCAAACACTTATGACGTAATAGAAAGATTAAGTGTTAACCTGGGCAATCTGTCTGTCCTCTGGCACCAGCTTAGAATACATCTCCACAACTAGAAAAAGGAGATAAACCCTATGAAAATAAATAACAACGAGGGGGGATTGCTGCTTCTAACTTTAAAGATAAAACCAAAAAATATGATGCAAGGCATAGGAAAAACAACGCGTAAGAGATCATACAAAGAGTTACAAAGATAACGATTCGAAAATGATGATCATGTTGGTCATGAAAATGATGATCATGTTGATCACGAAAATGATGATCATGTTGGTCATGAAAATGATGATCATGTTGGTCATGAAAATGATGATCATGTTGATCATGAAAATGATGATCATGTTGATCATGAAAATGATGAACATGTTGATCATGAAAATGATGATCATGTTGGTCATGAAAATGACGATCATGTTGGTCATGAAAATGATGATCATGTTGATCATGAAAATGATGATCATGTTGATCATGAAAATGATGATCATGTTGGTCATGAAAATGATGATCATGTTGATCACGAAAATGATGATCATGTTGATCATGAAAATGATGATCATGTTGATCATGAAAATGATGATCATGTTGATCACGAAAATGATGATCATGTTGATCACGAAAATGATGATCATGTTGATCACGAAAATGATGATCATGTTGGTCATGAAAATGATGATCATGTTGATCATGAAAATGATGAACATGTTGATCATGAAAATGATGATCATGTTGATCACGAAAATGATGATCATGTTGATCATGAAAATGATGATCATGTTGGTCATGAAAATGAAGATCATGTTGATCACGAAAATGATGATCATGTTGATCATGAAAATGATGATCATGTTGGTCATGAAAATGAAGATCATGTTGATCACGAAAATGATGATCATGTTGATCATGAAAATGATGATCATGTTGGTCATGAAAATGAAGATCATGTTGATCACGAAAATGATGATCATGTTGATCATGAAAATGATGATCATGTTGGTCATGAAAATGATGATCATGTTGATCACAAAAATGATGATCATGTTGATCATGAAAATGATGATCATGTTGGTCATGAAAATGATGATCATGTTGATCACGAAAATGATGATCATGTTGATCATGAAAATGATGATCATGTTGGTCATGAAAATGATGATCATGTTGATCACGAAAATGATGATCATGTTGATCATGAAAATGATGATCATGTTGGTCATGAAAATGATGATCATGTTGATCACGAAAACGATGATCATGTTGATCATGCTGTTTTGGACATTTAGTCAATTTCCAATGACTTACTTTTTATCAGGATGTCCTTCTGGGTGCGTTGTAGCTCGATCGACCTATTGTTGGGAAGTTGACACAGTGATAACGCAAAATCAAATTGCAAACTTTATATAATAAGGTGTCTTAGATTCATTGAAAGACTCGTCTTTCTTTAGTTCTTCAATTCTGAATTTTTTCTATATTTGTTATTTTCTATCATTAAAAAGTCAGTTTTCTTAAATTACACAAAAAATTAGAGCCCAATCTTAAAAAGTGAATTAGTTCTTCTCGGTTGAGATCAAAATGACACAGCTCAGCCGCACAATTTATCTAAAATCACGCATTTTTTGCGCGGATAGCTCCAAATAGTGGGCGGAGGGCAGAACTTATGCAAATATTGCCAACAAAAGCTTGTACGAAACAACGGATCAAAACTGAGATTTGCATTCAGAAAGCGAAATTGACAACTATGATTGCGCTGTGAGATAAATGTTTCAACGGCTGCTCGTGAAGAATTAACAGGAAATAACTAGCTTTTAGCGAAAGCCTGCTACAGATTTAGCGGAGGCGGATACAGAATGTATTCGAAAACAACCAAAGAAGCAATTGGCGGATTGAAAAACATTATGTTTCTTCTAAGTCCTATAATCAAAGTTCAAGATCATTAGCAACAATCGCGCAAAAATAATTATTCTAAATTCTACACTGTAAAGAACCAATCTCGAAGAGGTAGGTTTTCTTGTAAGTTGCCATCCACACATAAAATCCCTGCAAAGAATTATCTTAGGATTTAAAAACCTACAGGGCTGTTTTGCTTCAATAACAAAAATAATAATAGATTCAGCTAAAAATTACTCCGGGACCTGCTGTTAAAGTATAAATATAAGAGAGCAAAAGCATATACATCAAACCTTAACAAGTTGAAAAAATAAGATTCTTTCACTTGAAATGTTCTCAGTTTAATTTTTCAGCGCAGTAATGATTTATGACTTTAGAGAATTTCGGCTATTTGTGATCAACAAAGCTCCATTGATGAAGCACATTGTGTTAAAGAATCTTTTCGCTGCCTGATAGATCTTTAGATTTCTCTTCTAAAGGGAATTGCCCCAATTTGCAGGGTATCATAACATCAGGTAAACCTATGGATTAGAATCCAAGGTAAGGATCTTTGAACTCTTCGAAACACAGTACCATATGCAACTTTAAACGAGACTCAAGAACAGTTTGACTGTTAAAAAAGCAGGTTATTTTTCCACTTCGCGTGGACAACAGTATAAATATCCGTACAGTCACAGCGGGTATAATAAAGATGAAATAACATCAGTAGCTGAGCAGTTACAAATGTACACTCTCCCAACAAACTCATCCGGTTAGTCATAAGGCTAAACGTATTCATTTCAACATCACCGAAGACAGGTGTTGGTTTCTTAAATAGATGACCAGTTTTAAACCTAAGAGCATGTTGATATCAACAACTTCTAAAAACCCTTAACTAAAATAAATGGGTTCTGCGAGTTTATAATAAGTTTATAAACCACCCAAATGATTAAAATATACACCCTTTCAAGAAAAAATTTGCCTGCCTTGTCAGTCCAGAGCGAAATTAAAAACTGAACTGAAAATTATTGCGATACTTTATTCAAAAAACTGCAAAGGTAGCATTTCCAGTTCGTTCGATATAGGCCGTGGATTTGAGACAGCCTGTTCTTACAAATGCAGGCTTTGCAGAGGGATTATACAATCATAATTTTCAGCAAATAGAAATCTTGATTTCTCATCCGATTGACATCTGTCGCTTAAAACGCGTTGTTCTGGCTTAAATTGAGTTTTTCCTTCCTGGGTCACAGAGTAAAATAATTCTTAAAAATGGCTTGGAAAAAGGCAAACATTTTGAGTCATACTAAAGCCTGACTCTACGCTAAGAAATATATATATACCCAATTGTGGATCGAAATAGGTCAATCAAAAACGCGAGAACAGCATTCCGGTCTTGCAGATCAAAAACAACAAGTAAGACATGCGATTCCGCTATCGGGCAGCACTTAATGGGAAAACCAGATTGTGCAAAAAACTATAATGGGGACATGTTTCGGATAAATCCCGATCGTCGTTTCATCTAGCAGTTTTGGAATCCATCTACATAAAAATGAAAAACGGCTTTTGTGTAAACAGAAGGAGTTCGTTTTCACCTTAGGACTCCATTGGTAACAGTTTCAATAGGCAAGCGGCACTGATTGGGCAACCTCAACAGTCATGTGCTCGTGTTTCTGATTGGCCTACTCAAAGCAGCATTAGTTAATGATTGCTGTTAATAGATGGCACAAGAACCAAAACAAAGAGAACCAACTTGAATTCGCTTAGATATATGGCACTTCCTCATTCCAAATTTTAAAATGATGTTAGCAAACGTTTTTTCATTGATTGTTATGATGTCTTTTTCCATGTGATTATATACAGAATAGAATACTGAATGGTTTCGCCGATAGTACACATATATACATGATTTGAGTGCCAAATTTGACTGATTTCTTTAATCACGACAATAGAGTTCTGAGGGCGATCTAGTTTGAAAAGTGGTTTAAAAGGAATCTTAATTCATTGGTCACCTATATGATATATAGGGGTACTGTCAGCTAGAGGTACATATCCCTTGTCTTGAAGCTCTTTCTACAAGTCTTTGAGCATGAATGACTTTGTTTTTTTTGTTCATACTGATTACCAAGACCAAGACCAAATTACAGTGATTTGAAGTAATAATTTCCACATGGCTCTCTTAAAAACTCCCACATGGGCATTTCTTAGGCAAAAACGGAAAATAAGGAATTATTGATTTCAATGAGGGCAATTATCTTTTTTAAGCAGTTTAGGAAAGCAACTACCTTTCAATTTCTTGAACTAATAAGAGTTTAAAAGCCACAGAAAGAGTGTTTGTTAGTCAAAAGTGAATGAGAAAACTAGGTCAGTTTATCAAGTTTTCCTATAATTAGGATCAAACCCATTGATAATTTGAAAAGATGACTTTCTCTCAGCACTTGACCACTTAAGCCATGTGGCCATTTAACTCACCTTAGCCAAATTTAATTATGCTAAATGCTAGATCAAACAGCTTAAAATCAATCTAGACCTAAAATAATGCTCAAATAAAAGAATTTCTTTCAGTAAAGATTGGACTCACTTTTTGTAGTATTTTAATGCCTCATCCCATTCTGTAAGATCTTCACAGACAATTCCAAGGAAATTGTATGCCCTATATTAGACATTTGAAAATATTACATGAGTACTGATGTTATATATATATATGTATTCAAAAGCTCATAATGTAAAATGTTTAAACGATAGTATATAGAATCAAATAAAACACTTTCGTACGACGTTTCGCTTTCGCTTCATCAGTAATAACTTCACAAAATCAGAGGAGCCTACTTATCAACCTAAATTACAATAGAACACTACAATACAATAGAAACCTAAGGGGCACCTGCCTAATACAATACATATTGTCAAATGTGTTAGAACGCAAACTGTTATGGGGAACTGGGAGAGAAGTAAAAAGAAAGGTAGAAGAAAGAATGTGATGGAGATGCTGGTGTTGGCTGTCTCACAAGAGATAGATGAAAGCCATAAAAGCAAAAAACACAAAATAATGAGAAGAGAAGCTATAAACAAAAGAGCCGACATTAAAAATTAAAAATATATAAAAAATACTTTTAAAAATTTAAAACTGTAGAAGAATATATAAATGTCCTATGTATCTACCTGCCTAGTATTAAGACCCATCGGAGAGAAAGTATTCAAGCGATATTGCCAAAAACTTTCTCTCCTCCTATCATTACCTGTTAACCTATCTATGACCATATATATAAATTTAGATAGACATTACTGCAGGTGTAATTAGTTTGAACATCAAATAACATCAGCAGTAGAAAAATGACAGATTAAAGAGAGAATAATTTAAGATGTTATGGTCATAGGAAGAAAAGAAATGTTGATGAGGCCAATAGACTGGGAGGAAAGCCTAGGATAACATTGCATAAGCTTGTAGAAGAACTGTGCATAAGTAACTGCAGTAGTTTATAAAAAGAAGAAAAACATTTATAGTTCAGAACAAAACTAAAAAAAGCTGCTGATTACTTGGTATTTTCCTACTCAAAAGAGGGAATGTAACTCTTTGAAAAATGAACAATGGCTGAAAATAACATACCTGTGGTCACTTGAGTTGATTTTGACATACTCTTTGGCATACCTGAAAAATAGCAATGGCACAAGGACTGTTTGAAAGGAGAAGGAATGCAATATATTTACATTAAACACATACATAAAAATGTAGGATTGTTTTCTGAAATGGCTGGACTTGAACTTTCAAACGTAACGAAGAAAAATTCTTGTGTGAAGAAAGTGGCTTGCTGCAGAGAACAGACAGCAGAAAAAATCCTTTCCCTTTAATCATTCATACTCATTTGGCTTGAAAGTTCGAAACAGTGACATAAAATCATGATTAATTGATCAAAACTGCATTGTTCACGAAAATCTATAAAAAAATAATCCACTTTCAATTCGGCCCCTTTTGGATCTTAGATTGCAAGATTGAAATAGAAAAACCTGCATATGTAGTATGTTTATCTCTTTCATAACTTGATCTGCATAGTGGCAAAGCCAACAGGGTTATGATAGCCACAATGAGCAAGGCCGGAAGATTTCAAATTTCAAGGTGTTTAACAAACCATTAAAACTTTTCTTTGATGAATAAATATTTAAAACACTTCCAATTTCCATGTCTTATTCTCATAATACTACTGCCATTCCTTGTCATGGTTGCCTTCTTACATTCATATCGAATATACACAGTTCTCTAGAATGTAACTCTTTATGAACCACTTTGTGGTAATACTCACCCTACAGCATTTATGACCTATATGTAAATGTTTAAGCTTGAATTTGAATCTAAAGCCCTAGTCAAACGAACTGAACATTTCACTAAGCAACACTCAACATTTGCAAACCTTGCTCAGCTCTGCTCAGCGTGCTGCTCAGTGCAGGGTGGTTAAACAAACTGAACATTCCACCCAACAATTCAATGAATAAACAATGATTAATGCGAGTGCTTACGCAATGAGAAAGGAAAATTTTGCACAAAACTATTGCATGTTGTCAAAATGACGAGCTTTCATGACGCAATTAAACGGTTTTAGTCTAGTGAGGACAATGTCAACAAAAACTCTCAGTGTATACTTGATGCAAAACTTGAATTCACTGAGTGAGCTAGGCATGCGAGAGTTGAGCAAAAGTCAGTTGGGTGGTCAAATGAACTCAGCATCACTCAACAACACTTCGAACAAAAGAAATGTTTAATGACTCTATCAGCCTTTTTATCCCTGTCAAACATCTCTGAGCAGGACTGAGCAGCAAGACTGAGCAGGGCTGAGCAAGTGGCAAAACAAACTGAACTTTTTACAGCTTTTATATAAATGACAATTACTACATGCAGAATTATAAGGCTTTCATTTCACTGTCCAAGGTATGTTCTTGATAGGCTTTAGATGATTTCAAAATATTTCTACAAGAAAACCATACATCAATTCTGAGTACTAAAAAATTTGACTTCAATACTCACTGCTTTGCTTGCTCATAATTTCTTGCTTCTCGGTACAGCTTGGCTATGTCTAGCTTCTTCAGAGCAAGCTAAATTAAAAGAAAAAAGTTACATTATGTGTTGGCAAATACATAATTCTTCTACAGTTGAAAAAACCTTCAAGAAAAACTCCCTTGAATAGAGGCTATGTGAAACTCTCCATAGAAGTAAACATTGGTCGAAACTTTTGATCAGAAATTTCCTATCAACCTGAGTAACACCAATCATTCAACCTGTTTGGTCACATGACATTTGTTGGGTAATGTTTGAAGTTTGTTAAGAATTGTTGCCCTGAGATAATCCTAATAGAAGACGTTTTGTAATGAGTTCCATATCATAATATCAAATTCACCGTTATATAACTTAACTAACTACCAAGAGCAAAACATGCAAACATACGTAAACAAGTCTTTGTTAAGAAATCTATTGTGTAAAACAAATAATGCGGGTTCACACTTTGTGTGAAAAGAAATACAGGGTGACATTGTTTTGTTCATTGTGTAGCTAAAGATTGTATTCTTAACAAAGTTTGAAGAAGGTGAAATCTAGTTTGCTTTTTATTTTATTTGCTAAATGTTTTTTAACCATTCTTACAAATTTGTTGCCATTCAGTTGAAGACATTATGACAATGGATGCCTATAGGAGCATCTTGCACATCTTGGAAATACTTATAACAAAGCTATTGCAAAGAGCTGTTGTAATTCTGATGTTGGCATTACCAAAGGAGGACAATTAAAACCTGCAGGATATCAACAGAATACAATTGCTAATTATAATAATATATATATATATATCAAACATGAAGGGGGTTACATTATTATGGGGTAAAGGGACATACATGGATAAGCACTGAGACTGCAGGGTTTTCACTCTCAAAAACTCTCAGAAAAATATAAATGAAGATACATTTTTCATAACTCAGTTCAGTTCAATTCATCAAATTTTAAGATTCAAAAATCATTCAACATATAAACAATTAACAAAGTTACATTATAAGATTACATGAGATGAAAAACAGAAAATTACTACAAATAATTACAGAGTAGTGATAGAAATGCGTATTGTGGAAAATTTCTTAAGGTATGGCTCTAAACAAACTAATCAAAGAGAGAGCACCCCCTTTCCTAATTTTCAGTATCATGTCTGAGTAAGAAAACACAATGAAAATGCAAAAGGTCCACATTAGGATGTAAAGGTGTTTATTACCTTTAACAAGACTCTTCGACAAGGTGAGATAGACAGTTGGGATTTGTCAACAACATAGAACCAATCATTCACCCTTACTGAACTCTCTCATTACTTTCAATCTGCTTCCCTTTATGCTTTGAGGTTTATGTATATGTTATTTGCTGATTTTTATCATGTTATTTTTTCCCTCTTCCGTGCTTTTTTCAGATTAAGAAACTCTAAAGAAAGAATGAGTATTGGAATTTCCTAGACTGTTAAGAAACTGGATTACTCCAAGTTGACCTTCATTTCTAATAGAAAAGAAGTGTATTTCAGTCATTCTTTCGTGAATTTTTAATGCGAAACAGCTTAATCTTTCATTATCCTTTAAATAACATTGTACTGCTCTATATCTTTTTGAATAAAGATGAGTTTCATTGGATACTACTCAATAAATCTGTGTTCCTACACAAAACGTTGCCATTTTGAAAAAAAACCAGATTGACATTTTTAGGAGTAGTTATGCTCACAAAATAACTGTCTTCTTAAGATAAATCATGTTTACAAGTAGACAAGGTATATATATATATAATTTATTTTGAATTAATTTAGAATTAATTCATTTGGCTTGTATATACTCAAATATAAATAGAGAAACAACAAATCCTGCAAGGGCTAAATAGTCCACGCAGCCAAACCAGCAGGGGTCTTTTTTTAGCCTGAGTGCTTGTTATTCCCAGAGAGACCTGATTGCTGTGTTGTAAAATTATGCATTGGTGCAACCAAAGCAAGGTTGTTTCCTGTAATAATTTTCCCTGTTAACAACAGGCCATTATTTAATGCAATAAAATAATATTCTCTGTTCCAGGTTGAGGTCATTGATTTTGTATCAATAGACCTTTCTGAAAATGGACTTGAGATTTGAAATCTTTATCTTAAAATTAAGTTTTGGCAGATTGAGTTTTCTCCAGATGATACTCTTCTCCTGATTTGAAAAGCTCTGGCATGCAAATAAATTGAAAGAAATATGAGGCACAGCTTTTTAGGGTTGCTCAATGATATCTGAAAGCTTTGTGAAGTTAGGAAAATTTTTAAGGGCCACACCCTATAGATTACCGCAGAATGGCCCTGCAGTCATCTCATGTCTCAGTATTTTGATTTGATATTTTGAAATGACCTATGCTGGCCCGAAATCCATTGATGCCCAGAATTAAAAATCTACTGTTAGCATATTCCAGTTCTTTGAGAAACTACAATCTTAGGGTTTATTCTCAATTTCCTAAGCAAGGGCTTGTAAGAAGAGGCCTTGTCGGTTACTAACAAGGGGCATAAAAAGATCTAAATCAAAGAAAGTAAGATTATTTGGGAAACTACAGTAGCTGGCTTGTGCTCAAGCATGATTATAGGGTCAAGAATTTACTCTGTAAGGATAATTCTGTGGACTGTATTATGTTAAAATCAACTGACTGAGTTAACTTCTAGGGGGTTCCATTTCAATCCCACGGCCCCACTTAGAAGTTTGACTAATTACATGGGAGGGGGGTCAAAATAATTGTAATCTAATTATACCAAATATATGATTGACCCAATTTTGTGGAATGCTTGAAAGCACTTTGGCAGAAAAAATTTCTGTGCACATATAGTGAGACAAATTGGCAAATAATTTGCTTATTAGAAACTTGCTGCACACATTGGATCAAAACTGAATAGTGTGCACACACTGCAAACTTTGTCAGTACTCTTGCACACATGCACACATTTATATTTGCTCTTGCACACACAAGATTTTGTCTAGAACTGCCACACTCTGCAGACTGGACTGTCTCGGGTGCTATCAAAGCAAATTTGTTTTCTGCAATTACCTTTACCGTTATGTTAAAAGACGATAGTCAATTGGACAAGCAAGATTAGCCCAACAATTCAATCTTTACTTAATTTTCACAAGAACTTGCTTAGCTCATATTACTTTAATCCATGATTCAAATATACAGTGTATTCAAATACAGTTAAAACAGTTGCTTTAAAATACTTATTTTCCTTCATACTGTCCTTCTGTCCTTCACACCAACCACAAGGAAATCAATATACATTTGGCGCCATTTTTACTATGACGGTAAGTTATTAACGTACAAGTGGCCTAATAAATCGAGCCGATACACACCTTTCGCGGGTCTTTGATTGCTTTCTCGAAACGAGAAATATAATTTTGCACGTCGTCAACAGTAAGAACCATCTTCGAGTGAACTTACAACCTTGAAAACGGAAATTCCCTTCACTACATCCTAGTCCCTTCTCTCCTCACCTCGACGAGTTGCGCAAACATGCTTACCTCATTTTCGTTTCTCAGAAAGCAAATTCCTTCGCAGCAACCATTAACAAGCCCTGGGAACCACTGATCAGTGCTGGGAACCAGTGCACAAAACGTCCCTTTTCTAAATTTAGTGACCACCCGAGGTGCCAGAGTCTCAATAACTTAGTCCCAGAAATAGCGTTCGAATATAATAACAGAAAAATTAATTTGACAGCAAACTCGAGCAAGAACCATACCTGAGGGGGCAGGCTTTGAACAAGAGAACATATATATAACAAAAAGATGTACTTGGACTAAATCAAGCCCGCGGAATTATGATTAGGCACTGCCCCCCCCCCTGCAGCTACGTGGCTGATTCGCCCATTACCCAGTATGTGTCTACAGGCTGTTGCCATGCATTTGAGCAGTTTCTTTGCAATTTGAATAAGTTTCTCAACAAATTCTACATAAGCAGGCAAAGAATTTCCCTTGAATTGTTGTCGCTGTTTTGGTGAAATTGCTTGAATAATATGCTTCTTCGAAACAAGATTGGTCTTTTTGCCTCTGTGTATTCCATGACCACAAGAATAACACCAATCTCTCAATGCAATTACAAAGAAATCCATTTAGATATCTACATACAGATTGCAGGTGTTATTATTGCCTATGATACGAGATTGAGTATCATGGTATCATTGAGATTTGAAAATGTCAGATATTTTCTGAATCTGTCATTTCAATCGTGAGTCAAGTGGAAGAGCCCTTTATCGAGCCCTACCCCCCCCCCCCCCCCCCCCTTGAAGCAAGTTTTCTTTCAAAATAGTAAAATCGTGATCCTTATGATTTATAAGAAATATATGTTTTCAATTCAGAGATGTGCATGGTTTGTACAAAAAAGAAGCTCTGGCAAAGATTTGAAACGATCGTGCTTGGAATCAAATCCCTTTGATGTCCCTTCTTCGAAACTGATGAGTGCCATCAATAAATTATGTTGCAATTCGCTTGATTATAAATTCACTAGGCGGCTCCTTTTCTCTGTGAAGAATATTTGTTTGTCCAGGATATTTGATATTGATTGAAACCAGAATCTGCATCTCCTTAAGTTGCACGGAAACGTATACAGCTGGTGCAACTGTGGTAACCACCAATTTGTACTCTGTTTCTTGCTGAACATCTCATGTATTATTGAATCGGAGATGAATCTTTGATCGGATTCTTGTCTCTGATGTTAAGAAGCTTTAAATGAATTGAATACTTTTATCTAATGTAAGTCTTTCGGTAGCCTATCAGATCTCTTCGCGGAGCCTCAGAGATTAGCCATGTACGTAATTGCAACATTCTTTATCCGGTTCAGGCATCTCTAAGCTCTTTTGATCAACGTTTAACATTAGGAATATGATATACCTCAATACAACAGTGGAAAATCCTTTTTGGTTCGATTGCAATCATTGTTAACAGGCCTTTCTCCATATCTACTCCGTTACTGGTATTCGAAATTTGGCACACTTATGGCTTTACACTTTGCTCTTTCTCAGTTTGTCCAGAGCCTCTTCCGGCAATTTTCATGCATGTATGTATAAGTCATCACATTAATTAATTCACGAGTTATGAAAGGTAAAAGGAATACAGTACAATACACCCCTAATTTCAATGGCACGTATGGCATTGAAAGGCCAAAGTGAACATATGTCCATAATGGTCCCCTGAGAGGTGCTGGTTCAACAGGAGAAAACCAGAAGTGAAAGTAGGTGAGTCAGGAACTTTTGCCTTATGTTTGTTACAATTTGGTCCTTAGTAAAAGGCATAAATGCCATCTTCTATTTTACGATATTTTGAAAGAAGTTCTCTTTGATCTTATGCTTAAAGATGTTGATAATGGATGTTGATGTTGATGAGATTCCGTGTTTTGGACCTTAGGTAGGACAGGCACGTTCGTCCGGTGTGATACTGTGTGGCAACCAAATCTGCGTGGGCCCACTCCAAATCTCTTTTTTGCGAGGCCGCTTTGCTTGTAGCCCATGCGAAAGATATTTTGGCGCCTGTACCAAAGTTGCATTTTGGTGCATAATGTCATAAAATCTTGCAACAGAGGCAATTTTAATCCTCTTCAAATAAGCCCTCATCCTGGAATCAAAATTTCTTATTAATCCCCCAAAGGGTCAGATAAGATAGGCCACGCAGAAAAATTGAAACTTCACATTTCCAATTTTTCTGCGATTTGAAGGATTGAGAACAGCGGCGACTTGTAAACTTAGACAGAGGGACAGATAAGATAGGACACGCAGAGAAATGGAAACTTGTTCTTTCCAATTTTCCTGCGTGGGCTTATTGTTTTCGCCTCTGTTAAAAAAAGAGCAGTTTTTACCACAAACGTTCATCAATTGAATATTTTAACGGAAGGGAAGCAGAAAAAGATAGCAGAATACTTGAAACATTTCATGCCTATTTTGTACTTACGCATGCGTTGACAGCAAACCCATATTGTTTGCCTTCATTTCAGATGCATTTATATGATAATTTGATAAGATGATGATGTTGTCGTCATGTGCTGCACGACCCACCATTTGGCATATTGCATCTTGCCCTGATGCAGTAGCCCACGCAGATTAGTCTATCCTGTTCTTTGCTGGGATCCAATTTATAGCCTTGAATTCTGTGGAGGAGGACAAAAGTTGGTAAAAGTTCCTACAGTGGCATGCATCGAATTTTGCAGAAAAGCATGAAACGCACCCCACTTCCCCAGCTTCAATACTTTTTGTTATCCTGTTAGTATTTTGCGCAAATAAATCTTATCGATACATCGATGCAATATTACACTGTAGAGTGTATAGTAAATTGAACACTGAAGCAGCTATCGTAGCTATGGAATCCCCAATCCTCAATGTTGCCAAAGCGGAAAGGATTTGGGATCTACTGTTCAGAAAAATTACTGGCTATATAGCAGAACACCGCGAGGAAGGCCACAGCCTTATACTCATTGTCCTTACCTACCTTTGCTGCTTTTGATGGTAGGCTTGTAGGGCTGTTTATGCTCACTGGCAAGAAACGAGATGAACACTTCTTGGAAAATCATGTTATCATCTGGAGCACCACATGAAATCAGGGCTTTGAGGAAATTTTTTGTAGAACGTCTGTTGCTGCAAACAACCTTTTCATGTCCAAGAAGTTTGCTTTTTGCAATCCTTTTTATCTCTCATTTCGCTAGATAAGTTGGAGATCGTAAAATTTCATTGAGATAAGGTTTCATTAGAATTGCGTAATCTCTTCATTAAACTTCTCATCCTTTTTATAGGTCATGTGATTTTTAGAAGAAGTATCTTAAAAGCATGTCAATGTATTCTTGCCAAAGCTTTAAAAGGAATACCACAGTCCTTCCGAATATTGTTTTTAACATTGACTTTGAACAATAGCTGCAGCGGTTTTTTCTTGCAATCCAAACACAATGAAATACCACAGTAAGAACAAGCAGCTAAGTCCTTGTGCTGGGAGATTTAGAATCAATTTAGTCGGATTTTTCAGGAAATTTGGCGTTAAACCTAGCAATGAAACTAGCTGAAAAGGTTGGTGTTGAATAGAAAAGTCTGGCGAAGGATGGTTGGCCAAAATGGGCTTCAGCTTGTTTCATACCAATCAGTTATCTTCAAGAACTTTCAAAGCGGTGGCAACATCTAGCGAGGTGGGATTTTATAGTTCAAGCTTTAAATCCTTTGCATATTTGACGAGAGCTTTTTCAAACCGTTTGAGCTAACATCTTACGCAGTATCAGCTGGTTGTAAACCTGTACTGCATCTCTCGATCTTATGTGTGCTAATGCAACAGTCTCTTTGACATTCATAAGCCCTCAACACGCTTTCTTACTAGATGTTATCATAAAAGCAAGTGCTAGCAATAATAATCATCGTCAGCATAGTCTAGAAGAAGGATTATATATATAAAGTTAAAATTAATAGTTTTGATCAAATTTCACTCAATAATTGCGGGTCTAGAGCGTTTCTTCCAAAATTCGAAAGGTTTCATAGAGCAGATACTATTACAAAACAGATAGATACTGACTTTATTTTCCCAAGGTATATAAAAATATAAACATTACTGCAAAGGTGGCTTCGTTTCATTCATCAACTGTTTGTGGCGCATCGCTATATTCTGATTGACCTACTAAACATGTACTTTTAATGGAGAATCTCAAAGGCAACTGAAAATATTTTCAATTCACATTAGATAACACAATCTTAGGTACAGAGAGATCAAAATCTTTAGACAGCTGGAAAGAGTGAGTTTTTGCGCTGGTCGCTCTGTGAAAAATGTTATACAAGCAGTGGAGGTCAGGGTAATACATTAGCGCACGGGGTGTGGCGCTGGGACTGAAGTCCTTCTAGAGTTGAATTAGAGTTGACAGAGAGTCGGGCAAACTATAAACCATATTCCCATTTAAAGAAATATATAGCGTGAAATCCAACTGTTACTTTAGGTTCATTTGCATGGAGAATTTCAGCAGGATTCCACAATGGTAAAGAAATTTTTCACCGCAGCAAAGAATCTTCGGTAAATGTTGCATACTTTATTTTCCCATCCTTTTAATCGTTCACAAAAGAAGTTAGTTTTGGCAAAAGATAGTATGGACTAGCAGTGGACTACTCTGGGTGCCAGAGCCTCAGAGAGGCAAAGGATGAAGAACAGGGAAGGGAATTGCGAAGGAGAACCGAAGAGTAGAGGGGAGAGACAAGGGTTAATTAAATGAAATATCTCCCCTTTCCTCTTCCGTTCTCCTTCGCAATTCCTTTCCCCGTTCTTCACATTTTAACTCTCTGAAGCTCTGGCACCCAGGGTAGCAGTGAACACGAGTTTCCCATTGATCTTCTTATCTTTAAAAACCAGGGCCGTCGCGAGGCAAGCCTTGTGGGGGGGGGGGGGGGGTGGGGTTGTGGACTACAAATTTACTTGATTAGAAAATAATTACCTGGAATTCTTAAGTTGCTGTCACAAACCTCTGCAATACATTTTGCCAATCTAACTATGTGGCATATAATTCGCAACATTCATTTTAAAATGATAATAACGGACTTTCCTAATAGTTTTGCCAAATCTGTATACTGGGACGGGCAATTACCCAAGGCGGCACCATGGTTGCCGCCGAAGGAGCAGACAATTTTCGAATTTTGATGCTTCCAGTTCCCTGGAAAATGCACTCTTTTAAGTAAATTCTACTAAAGCAATCCTCCTAATCCTACCGAAAATTCTTTTATGTTTGCAAACAAATTGAACAGCAGATAAAAACAACTGGTACAATTTCGCCGTGGTCTTGAAGAATTCCATGTTGTCAGTTACTTCTAAAGCTGGGTAACAAGTTTCACTGGTTGTCAATTTAGATCCCTCTTTCCATCTTAGCGTGCCTTTCTAGGGGAAATGGACACAAGACACAATTTTACTTAAAGAGTGCCTGGATTTTTAGATTTTGTGCCAACAAGAAATCTTCAAATATTCAAGTCATTAGTTTTTTTTCTTCCTTCATATCGAGAAATATCATATTTAGCCAAAGGAGCAACTGTCTTTGCTTGATCTTTTATTGATGTTAATGCATGAAGGTCGCTGAAATACCTAAAGCGTTTCCTCCACGGGGTAAAATTTTACCTGAAATTACCTATCGAGATACTATTGGGGTGTGACACCCCCCACACCCCCCGGTCGCGACGCCCCTGTTAAAAACGTAAATGATGTACATAAGCACGACAGTAGTTAGATATTTTTCTTAATAGCTAAGTTGCTTATGCTTTTACAATTTTCTTATGAGTTTTCTCGTCACGGGATGTAGCGTTCTCATGTCAGTGGCACAAGCAGCCATGTTGACATGCAAATATCTTAGCATTTATTAGTTATGATGAGTAGTAATTAGTAGAAATGGACAAAACAAGTCCAAATCAAGGTGCGAGGTACGTTTGATTTCAAATTGTCAAGAACTCATTGGTCAATAAGATAAGGTGTGGAATCCTAACTTATAATAAAAAGAATAAATAATAAAGCTAAGAATAGGAGAACAATAAAAAACTAACTATGAACGACCATCCCTATTTTGTAGTGTCTATCTTCTTACTTATTTATTAATGTTTTTGTCACGACCCCCTGAAAAGCAGCTGCGCTGTTTATCCTAGAATCAGCTGTGCTAATTCTGTCTCTCCACCTTTGTATTTTTTGCACCTTTTCAAACTCATTCCTCATTGTTAAACTTTATTCCTATTCTAACACTTGGAAGTTTATTATATAACCAACTCCAACTTATTTCCTATCGTCAGCGAAAGCTTAAAGGTATTGCCTAGGATCTTCCTTTGGTCAAACTTGACGTTGTAAATATTTTAGATGCATTTTCTGGCCACCCCTAAAATGTCATATTTCCAAAAACCTTTTTTGAATTCGGCCAAAATTCCTAACCATTGTGGCGGTCTTATACATTCCTAACTATTTATTGAACACACTAGACATTTCGCCCCCTCCCCAACTTTCATTAACGTTTCGCCAGCCCTGCCTATGCTACTGATGCTCCCATCTTGGCTGCTGCTTAACGAATCAATTTACTTCGCTGCTCAACCAATGATCGGAAAAACATCAGCTCCATGTATGTTTTTACTGGAAAATTTCATAACAAGAAATTTCTTGAATAACATTACCCCACTCCTAACATCTTCTAATCATATTTAGACGAAATATAAAATTGATCCTTCCGACGTGCCCCCCTCCCCCCTAAGCTCCCCCTGTGACACCGCTATTGACAATGACCCCTCTAGACGCCTCTGATGCCACCCTGGACTAAGAAGGATTGTAGATCCCCCTTGCTTATCCCTTATGTCTACGCCTACAGCCCTGATGGTTATTAATTAGAAATAATAGCAATATTCCAATAATAACCTTTTAAGCCAGTATAATAAGTGCTGCAACAAACAACTTTGAAGATACCCGTAAACTTCATTTGATTTTCGGGGCCCTTTCTCGACAAATTTTGCCGGGCGCTAAATTTGGAGCCAGTCCACCCTTGCCAAAAATAATCTATCGCTAACTGGGAAAGCAGAAAGTAAAAAAGAAAGAGACAGAAAAAGCTCTATTTGAGCAGCATTAAAGAATGGACTAACATGATCGTCAACACCCTCACGGATGACACAAAAAGAACAGATCATTCTCAATGTAATTGAAGTTATTTAAAACTGCTCATAGTAGCTATTACCAGACACACCAGAGCCGGGGAAAGGGGGCTGGATGGACTGTGCCCCTCTACATTGGTAAACTACCATAGAAGTTTGTAGGCTCGTATATAGCTTTCTCGCCACTCCAAAATGTGCTCCGTTGTCCGTAAAAGCTCTTTTAAGTTCCCCTTTCTTTAAAGCCCCCTCTTTTTTGAGCCTCCTCTCTTTTAAGCCCCCCTTATCAAGCAACATTTTAAAATAAGCCCCCTTCTTTATTATGTCCCCCTTCTAGCCTCTTTGCGGGTGCGATGGTAATAAGATAATGTGCATTAAATACGGCCCATGTAATGATCGACTTATGCGTCATTCGAAGTTTGTTTAGAAGATGTCGCAGGATTATAAATTGATATTGGTGACTCTGACGAAGATGAGGAAATCATAATTGATGAATTTTGATCAACATTCGAAGCTGCTAGCAAAGTTTTTTAGGAACATTAGCATGACATTTGTATAACACAAAATGCATAAGTATTTAATGTAGGTCCCACCAGCCTCTCCCTGTTTTTTATAAACGCCTTCAAAGGCCCCAATATTTTTGCGTGATGCGTTATTGGTCATATTTTAGTGCATGAAATCGTGAAATCTCGATTTCTTATGCGTGATTTCGTGAATTAAGATTCCTACGTAAAGCGTGAAACATGAGTTTTCCTTGCGTTATGTCGTGAAAAGGCTTTAACTATCCGTGAATTTTTGAGTGAATTTTTGAAGGATAATTTATATTTCCTGCCGTTTCTACTGATTTGTCGAGCTAGCAAAGTGTAGACATTCAAAGTTTGAAAGTAATGTTGTAGTCCTTCAAACAGGGCTCTGATGATATTACATTTATTGTTTGCGTGAACATGAAAATCCAATTTTGCAAACAACTGTGCGCGAATGCGTGAATCACAACCACTATGGGCCTGCTAACTCTGATAGTGGTGGGTAGAAAAAAGCAAGAGCTCCGAATCAATTATTGGTGGCGCCTGTTACGTTCTTGATTTCGGATCGAAGTAATACGTTGAAAATAATACGCCTTATACTCAATGAAAGCAATCTTGAAACTTAACACCAAATAAAAGCACGATTATATGTATTTTAACAAAACAATAGATTTTAGCAAGTGATAGAAACTACAGCGCCGCTTGAATGTCGAGCTGACCGTATATTGAGAGAGTTGTGCAAAATCGAATACCAGCATGAAACGTCGTCCACAAGGGTAGTTTTGGGCGCTGAACAAGATTAGATGCAGACCCCAGCTGAGAAATGCTCCCAACTGCTATTTTTAGACTGTTATATTGGGTCCCAGGCCCCAATATCATTTATTCTAATAATATCGCTGCTAATTGTGATATCAGCTTGAAAATTGGAAGAGATTGGCAGTTTAATATGCTCAAAAAGATAGGAAGCAGACCCCAACTGATAAATGCCCCCAAGTCGTATTTTTAGACTTTCACTAGGCCCCGGGCTC